GAGGACGCATTCTTCAAACATGAGACATGGAAAAGAGATGCCTCTAAATGTAGGAAATGTAGGGATTGGTACACTAGATTGTCTACGAGTTTGCAGCATGCATACGCGATAATGCCCCACGGCTGGAACCGCCGTGCTATCCTACTCGATTCCCAGTCTGAATCTCGGCCTCCCTGAATCTTGTCAAGACTCGCTGCGCACGATGAGTGGTGAAATTTGATCGTGATGAGATCGATCTGGCTCTCAGTTGCGTGACTGTTATCTGAACCTACCTGTTACCCATCGCGCGGATAGCCTCAATTTTAGGTCTTATTCAGCTCCCTAGTGGGCTAGCTTATAGATCTCCTCCCACATATCGAGCATGTCCATGTGGTGACCCCCTGGCTTGAGTTACACGCCGTCCAACTAAAGGGCCATAACCATGCATGGGTCATGAGGACGTACCGTAGTAATAAGGATGGGGATCATTCCTTCGCTATTGATATTCGCTAGATTGATCTCGGGTCCACCCCTAACCGGTTCGGGTTCACATACCCTGGCGTGCGAAGTTGTATAAAACATTCTCAGACCTGCCAAATGTCGTATTGTTAAGTTTGCAAGCCTGCCTTCGTTGCAAACTCAAGTTCGTCGCTTCAAGATGCGGTGGCATTTGAGCCTGTTGCCCTCAGTATTACTGCAAGTAGGACTGCTACAAAGAGGTGCCGTCGCTACGACAGCGTCTATTCACGATTCGTCATGGCAACCCGAATATGTTCTTCATGTAACTTTCGAGGAGATTACTATGAACTGCGAGCAGCGAGAGTCGGTAATATTCAATGGCACAATGCCCGGTCCTCCGTTATACTTGAAGGAGGGGAAAACAACTTGGGTCAGAGTATACAACGACATGTCTGACCTTAATTTCACGGTGGTATGTGAGAGCTAAACGGCCAAGACACTGGTGTACGTCCTTATCTGACTCATGAATCCTTAGCACTGGCATGGGCTCACCATGCGAACAGCGCCTTTCTCGGATGGGACGCCTATAGTGTCCCAGTGGCCAATAGCTCCGGGCAGGTTCTTTGACTATGAAATACACCCTGAGGTGGGCGACGCCGGCACCTATTTCTACCATTCTCATATGGGATTTCAAGCCGTCACGGCCCATGGCCTATTGGTAGTAGAGGATCAAGACGAGCCGCCTTATCAGTACGACGAAGATATTCCTATAGTATTTGCGGACTGGTACACGAAAACGGACGAGGAGGTAGAAACGGGTCTCACATCGAAGCCCTTTAAATGGTCAGGCGAACCCAATGCCTTGATCTTCAACGACCGTACTGGAAACAAGTCGTTCGAAGATGCACCCGACGACTCTTGCAAACCATATATCGTCGACGTGGAACCCTCAACAACATACCGAGTTCGATTTGTCGGCGGAACTGCTATATCATTTGTACAGTTTGGCATTGAAGGCCACTCCAATCTCACCGTAATCGCTGCCGATGGGCTTTACTCGAAACCCGCTATTACAGATCATATCCAGATTGGAAGTGGTCAACGATTCGATGTTTTGCTGACTACAAAGAGTGAAGATGAACTTGATGCGGATGGGAAAGATGGACAATATTGGTTTCGATTCGAAAGCCGTGGCCGCCCAGAAGATATGGGAGGATACGCGCTATTACAATACAACACCGATAGTTCAAAAACGAAGGCAAAGAGAAGTGCGGTACGAGAACATCGGTCACCTAATACACGAGGCGGAAAACAACATAAGGGTAATTTACCGAAATTCCCCGATAAGCCGCCTGTTACTCTACCTCCAGATGGCGGTTCAATTCCTAAGTGGCTAGAGTACACTCTCTCGCCCTTGAATGTCAGTAGCCCGTTCCCTACGCTCAAGGAAGTAACCCGGACTCTGCACATCACGGTGAGCCAGGATATTATAAACGGCACATACGACAGGGGCACAATAAGTGGATCAATGGTGTGGGTGTAAGTACTAACTCAGCCCGTTTATGACTAACTAGCATAACAATGGATCGTTAACTGACGATGTAGGCAAAACAACCTGACATGGACGGAAGTAGAAGCACAGAAATTACATTATACACCGTACCTGATTCAAGCATACACCGAAGGAAAGACGCCAGACTACCATACAGCACTGGCCAATCACGGATGGGACCCTAAAACGAGAGCATTCCCAGCCCTGGTTGGCGAGGTCCTAGATATCGTATGGCAAAGTAATTCGGGCCCTACAGGTGGCTTCGAGTATCATCCTATGCACGCACATGGAGAACATTACTGGGACCTTGGATCAGGCAATGGTACATACCATGCAGCGGCTAACGAGGAGCACTTCAAGCATTATACACCTATGAAACGAGACACGACGATGCTGCATCGATATGCATCTAAGGGCGTCGATAACACCACGTCCGGTTGGCGAGCGTGGCGAATCCGAGTTACAAAAGATAATGTGGGCGCCTGGATGATGCATTGCCACATCCTGCAGCATATGATCATGGGTAAGTAAGCCTGGTTGATTGACGCCTCCTTAACGCCGATTTATTGATTGTCTTTACGCTAACATTATCGTGCCAGGTATGCAAACCGTCTGGGTGTTTGGCGATGCATTGTCGATCCTTCGGGAGATCCCCCCACCGTACATAAACGGCTACTTAGACTATGGCGGCAATGCATACGGAAGCGAAACTGATGACCCTCTGGTCTTGGAATATTATACAGAGTAAATGACTGGTGGCGTAATGAACAATTGAATACCTATCTCCTAGGTAGGTTAGGTACTTAACATAAAACATATCATGTCATGATTAGCGATCAAAAAGGATATCTAGAAGGGCATTTATTGGTCTTACACGGGTCTTACACGGGAGTATTCTTGATTTTAAACACTGCATGTATTATACTCGTTCTATCTTACATAACTACAGTATACTATATACCTACCTACCTTGTTATTGATATCCACTTCTCTTTTCCCCGGTACCATGGGTCCAGATCCGTAGTGTACCTGATTAATTGACCTATAACCGGTACTGTCTTTGAACCTGTGCCACCGCGTTGCAGCTGGGCTGACTTCAGCTGCTCAGGTACCCGGACAACCGCCGGGGTGGCCTGGATCAAGATGTGACCGAGTTTTCGGCCGGTTCCGTGCTTAGGTAACTGGTGGATTAATGCGAGATAGAGATACGGAAGTGGCGTGGGACCTTTTGAAGGTTTTATGTATCTTAGGGAAGTTCCTGCCGGTCCCCGACATGCGGTGGCAACAGTTGCCTGTGCGCTCTAAAGTTTAACGAAATGGCAGGCACATCTTGCAAACATATGGAAGTGACTACCTACCTACCTAGGTAACTAAGAAGGAACTGAAGATATTACGCAAAATTAATTAATTAGGTAGGTAGGTACCTAATTATTCAAGATTTAAGTTCAGTGCTCAGAACTTCTCTAAAACATCTTCTCTTCCACCTACCACCTAATAACCACCTCATTTAATAAAGAAGCTTGACCAACCCGAAATAAACTACCCTGCTTAACCACAGTAACCTACAACAATTAAATAACTACAAGCACTGCCTTATCCAACTACATCGCAGCTTGCAATTACACAACAGCCCGAGGATCACATTTAACGTAGACTAGCAGGAGATCTACAATGCCGAAGACCGGTTCCACGACAGAACAAGGAACTGCGACATGGCTAAAGGGCAGATGGAATGGATCGTAAAGCACGTAAGTTACGAATAGGCATATCTCTTCTCAGCATGCCATTCAGTTGCTAATATTTGAAAAGGGTGATAATATCCAGACACAAGGGGAAAGGGTACAACAATATTATCGACGATCTAATAACCAATCCTAAGCCTTATTCCAAAAAGAAAGGTTATATCGGCAATTTAGGCCACATAGCTGCTTGAAGCTGCCCCGAAGTTATCTCCGAAAAGCCACAACTTTGACCATAACAGCGCTGTATTGCCTGGAGGCCCTCAACAGCCGAGTAGCCCAGCGAAGAAGCGCAAAATCACACCGTCAACTGAGCAGTCATTTTCAAAGAAGATATTGGTCCTCACAACACCAAGCAGAGGGCCAAGCACCATTAGTCAAGGCAGTGCATTTTCCATAATAACACAATCATCCATGAACTAAGTGATTCGTCGACACCCATACTCAGTGTATCAAGCCAACATAAAACAAGAGCGCAATTCTGTTAAATCAGTCAACTCCCGCTACAACAGACGCTATTTAGATAATAGATAAAATACATAAGTACCCGAGTCTAGTTGCATAACAGTCACATCATACCGACAAAAGTCACGTAACCCATCTGCAACATGTCAGTTGTCAGCTTCCTTTTTCAGCCAATCACTATCGCGATACAAAGGTGTGTCCCAACAGCATGATCAATCACTTCCCCGACAAAATCTTGCTGCAGTTGAATTGGGTCTGTCTCAGACATCAAACTCCCGGATCGACATAGCAAATAGGCTAGTATCACATGATAGGCCTCATTAAGTAGTCCCAAACCTAGGTACTCAGATGTATCACTAGATAGAGATTGTCTTAGGAACCTTCTTAATACATATTCATCTCATAACGAATACGAAATTGTCATTAAGTCATTAAATGCTGTAGCTAGGCCTTGCTTATATTATATGTGCTGTAGCTTATAGCAAAAATCGATCGATCCAGGACACATGACAAACCCGAGTATAAGGCATAGGAGCTGAACCTAGAGGGCGACACCTTAAGTACCTGTTAGCAATGCTAAACTCAATCTCACGTTGCAGATGTTATGAAATTAAAGCGAAGGCCCAGGTATCATGATATGAAATTTTAAACGAGGTACAATGTAAGACATAGTCACTATCGTCCTTGGTAGAGATCCTGGACCGCTTGTATTAGGTGTGCTATTACTGAGTAGATATCCTCACGACAATCTCGACACCTATTATACTATATTTCAACACCTTAGAACTATTGAACTTTGAGGTGGAGGCTTTGAGAGAATGTCTGATAATCTGATCTCCGATTATAGTTGAGAAGTGCTTAGTTCTACCGTCAGCGTATTTCACTATTGTGTGAGAATCTTGACATGTGTAATAATCCTTTAGGCATGAAGCCCTGCTATCCTTTTAATGCTATTGAATTCGCGAGAGCACTCTCTTCTAGCTAAATCCGATAAATTAGAGTGACTTGATCATGGAATTTGTGCCAGCCGTGGCCAAAATACTCCAGATGATAACAAGACATATAGCCCAAAGTCACTGTACCAACATCCAGACTGTAGTGTAGGCAAATTGATCCCCGATCCTAGTGGGCATAATCCAATACATCCAATACTGTCAACACACTGTCTATTATGACGTCCTTATCAAAAAGGATACGTCTCCTTCACGATATCTTCCACCTCCTTACCAAAGTCAAAGGGCTGACCTCCAACCATTAGCCGAGCCTTGATGTCGGTGCGATTCTCGAGGATTATCTTCCGGGCCATTAACCCTCTAGTTAACACGTCGCCCATCTTATTGACAGCTTCAGCTTCCGGCAACTTGGGGAAATCAATAGCGTTGCCATCCTTATCCTTTAGCGTCGACGTCTGCTCGTCCCACTCCCACTCCCATGGATAGGTGGGGTCATTCCACGCCCATGGGTTAGCGATGGCCTTGCACTTTCGAGTGGCTCCGGCTGGTAGGAAGGGGACGACGTATTCGACATAAGTCCTCTGGACGAAGTCGGAAACGAAGTAAAGACCGGCGGGGGTTTCATCGAGGTTGGGTTTTATGAAAGTCGGCGTGGGGTCTTGAAGGTACTTGTACCGAGGATCGAGAAACAGACCCCGCAGCAGAGCGGCATGGTTGGCGGCAAGCTTGAAGGCTTCAGCTGGGGTTGGATGCTTGATTTCGTTTCCGGGCATTTTTAATAAGATGGTAGGTAGCGCTATGTATTAAAAAGAGAAGACGGTGTTGAGACAAAGAGGAAGCTGGTTATTTTAGGAGAGCCTAATTCTTATTAGTCTTATTAGTTTACCTAAGGTAAGTTTCAATAGCTGCTTTAAGCTGTTAAAGTTGTTTCGGTGTGAATGTGGAACGATGGAACTGTGGGGGGTAACTTGCATATTTCGAGGAGAAAAGGCGGGTTAAGCTGTAAAAATCTGACGTAGTTGTTTCACAGTACGAAGCATAAATAAACGCGTTTAAGAAAAGGAGACAGGAGACAGGAGACGGGAGGTAGCTCAATTCATGCATATGGCTGATAATAGCATATATATCACGACCCCTTTTCTATCTTTTGGCCAGATGAAATCATGTCATAATCATAATTCATTCATTATTTATTAACAACTGCTATGTATATTCCTGCCTACCTAATATATTAGAGTCTCAAAAATCTCTACCATTAGACCCGTTAGGAACCAGGATGATACACAAGTAGCTAGGATGACTCCAACTAGGCTTAATAACTACATGAATGTAGATAGATTGGAGAAGAGTGACCCGAAGACACACCTGCTTGATAAACTGGTCTAGATCTTCCGCCGTTCCTGAAACACGCGAGTTTCTGGAGTTAGAATCCTCCTTTTAACGCCGGCGATCGGCACAATGCAGGGTCGATATTCGGCAGATGAGTTGACGAGGTTAACTACCTGCGGGGTAGACGACAGCCCTTGGCTGCACGATATATGGGTGGCAGATATAAATAAGATGATCTAAGAACGGAGTACCGTATTTGGCTCCCTAATGCTTGGTCGACTCGCCTATTAGATCTTTACGCCATGTCATTTTTAGATGAGGCTCAGTCAGACGTGCCGCTTCTTTCAGAGAAGCACTCCGGTATCCCACAATTCCTCCTAGAGAAAGCCCGCGAGGCTAAAGCCGGCGTCTTTGAGACAAGAACAAAACCCAAGGCCACGAAGGACAGGCGACCTGCTATCCCCCCTGGCGTTGAAGAGCAGGTATTTGTTACTGCGCTCGGTGAACTTGGGAAACAGCTGGGCCAAGATAATGTCGAACGTAATGACAAGCCGTTGAAAGATGGATGGTAAGTCATCAATAACATCGTATAAGACTATCTATCTGCTAGGAACATTTGTTCTAATATTAGTGCAATAGGTATATGGAACGTAAGTGAAGTGTAGATAGTAACCGAAATCCGTCGTCTCTAACATATCTAGACCCAAATACTCATGACTTGATGACGATCCTCGATGAAGAGGAACTGGTCCCGTCAGCAATGGTCTATCCTGGAAGTACTGAAGAAGTCCAGCAAGTTGTTCTATGGGCGAACAAATACCACATACCCATTTCCCCCATCTCAATGGGTCGAAATCGTAAGTCAGCGGGCACAGGTAGAATATAATGGACGTTGGTAACTAATGGCATCAGTGGGATACGGCGGTGCAGCTCCTCGAGTGCGTGGATCCGTCCTTGTCGATCTCGGCAGACGCATGAATAAGATACTTGATATTAACCCGGAAGATTATACATGCCTTCTTGAGCCGGGTGTCTCGTTCTTCGCTCTTCATGAGGCGATCAAGACAAAGGGATACGATCATCTTTGGATTGATGTTCCAGACGTCGGCGGTGGTTCCGTCATAGGGAACACTGTGGATCGCGGCGTCGGATACACGCCTTACGGAGACCATTGGGCATGTCATTCGGGTTTGGAGGTCGTACTTCCAACGGGAGAGGTCATCCGAACGGGTATGGGCGCTCTTCCGGGCAACAATACTTGGCAGACGTTTCCTTACGGGTTTGGCCCATATTCCGAGTCAGTCACCCCCATCGACATTGAGAATGGCAGCCGTTGGCTCACAAGCTTGCATCTAGTGGAATTTTCTCGCAGTCTAACTTTGGCATTGTGACCAAGATGGGACTGACGTTGATGCCGAACCCAGGCGGACATGAAGGCTTCGTAAGGATTCCACTATGGCTACAAATCTGCTCTGCAATTTTGAAGTACTGACTGATATCGTATTTGGCAGATGTACACCTTTCAAAAGGAACAAGATCTTCATCAGCTGGTAGGTATCCTAGTCGAGAGGACGTTATGCAGAGTGCTAAAAGCGAATATCTTTAGATCGAGATCATTCGTCCGCTCCGCATCAGCAATATCCTAGAGAATGTTGCACAATTGCGCCATGTCACGCAAACTATCGCAGTCCGCGGTAAACCGCGAACCGACTTTTATAAAGGTGAGGGTACGATTCCGGATAGCGTGATCCACGAAGTTGCGGCCACTCTACCCATTGGTGACCATACGTGGGCTTACTATGGCATGTCGTATGGTCCCCCGCATATCCGCCAGTATAAGCTCTCTATTATCGACACCGAATTCAAGAAAGTCCCGGGTGCTCGTCGGATTGACCCGTCGACGCTGCCACCAGATGAGTATTTTTGGGCTAGGGACCACGTCGCTTCAGGTACTCCTGAACTCCATGAGTTACGCTGGGTTAATTGGATGCCCAACGGCGCCCATATCGCATTCTCACCTGTCAGCCCAATCCGTGGCACCGACGCGACCAAGTTGTTCGAACTAGCTAAGAAAAGACATGACGAGTTCGGAGTTGACCTGTTCCCGGCGTTCTGCGTCGGCCTGCGCGAAATGCATCTCATCGTCGAGCTCGTATATGATCGCGCAGATCCTAAGCGCCGGAAAGATGTGCTGGACTGCTTACGACATCTGGTGGACGACGCCGCGGCATGTGGGTATGGAGAATATCGAACGCATCTGGTGCTAATGGATCAAGTCGCTGGAACATATAACTGGAACGACGGTGCGCTGATGAAGTTCCACGAGAGGTTGAAGGATGCGCTGGATCCTAACGGTATCATGGCTCCCGGGCGCTGTGGTATCTGGCCGAAGAAGTATAGAAACCGAGGGTGGGAGATGACGAAAGCTAGCGGCGAGAATTCTCAAGGCGATGGCGTTGCGCCACCTTCATAGGATGGCCAGCCTGCTCTGCTGTTATTAGATGAGAGTTCCAATTAAACGACACATAAGAGAACTACAAGCTATCAAAATAAGCTACCTTCAGAACATATTCTCGATATGTATGGGTCGAGCAGGATATTGTCGAACCATGTTTACAAATAGAATTTCATAAACTCTCACTTGCTTCCATTTTATCAACATACCCCAAGGGTCTATGCTGCTTTCGAACGGCCTAGAAGCTAACAGCGATGGCCACGGGATGCTATAAATCAAAGCAGTTATATCCAGTCAGATGGGACTGATATATCGATGTATTAGTTCCAACAACGCGGAATAACCGGTTAGGTCGACCTGTACCTAGTCTATAGAGCTTTGGGGGCTCCGGCTCTGACGATCTTTCCGCTGTAGATAAAAAGCAAACAATAGTGTCCAAAACGGGGGCACACTCATTGGTTCTCTGCTCAAATAGGTTGTTTTCAGTGTTACACGACATGTGTTATAAATTACGTCCCTTCCAATAAGGACCGACCCCATACAAACAACTATCGTCATGCACGACGACGTGTAGGGGGTTAGGGCTTTACCTTATGAGCGTCTCTTCTACTTTTAAAGTCAAGATCTTTAAGCTCCTTTATAAGTACTCGGTGTTGTAAGGCGTTATAAGTTAACATGTACCATACAGTCTGGTAGATGTTGCTAAAATTGCGTCCCTCTGAATATATATTTCGTTAACCCCTCTAACGTTTGTCCTGTTAGGTAACTTTGGCGCTGGGAGCTTCGATGATGCCTGTCTGGACTTTCCTGATCGTAGCAGCCGTGGTCTTTTTCGTCTACCAAGCTTGCAATGCGTTGAGCGAAAAGGTAAGATGTTTGCATAAGCGATTAGGGATTGGTTCTAATATCTTGCAGGCGAAACCATCTCTCAGGAAAGGGGATGCACTTAGTTGCGACTCGGTCATACTGGCAAATAGATGGCCCCTAGGTATAGACTTGTTAGTAAGGACGCTGATTGCGTCCGATGAACTCTGCGTGATGGAGTTCTTCCTAGACAATTTCCGTAAATTTGGGAATACCTTCCGACAGATTATCGGATGGAACGAGTCTCTTATGACCGTTGACTCGGCGGTCATCGAGGCTATACTTCTGTCTAATTCCAAGGGTGAACAATACCTATAGAACACCTAAGGGCTATGATGCTAACTATCTATAGATTGGGGTTTAGGTTTTCGACGCACCATTTTCTCCCCGCTGCTTGGAGATGGTATATTTATCCAAGAAGGCGATGCATGGAAACGTTCGCGGGATATTTTACGCCCACATTTTTATCATCGGAACTATGAAAGTCTGGATATGCTAAGACCGCACATAGATAACTTATTACAAGCAATTACCAGCACGACAGCAGATATCATCGACCTGGAGCCCCTATTCTTCCGCCTGGCGCTCGACGTAACTACCGAGTTTCTATTTGGGGAGTCTGTAAGAAGCCAGTGCTTAGACTCTAACGTGGCAAGTCAGGAATTTGAAGAGGCGTTTAATCTAGCTCAGGCCATCTCGGCTAAGAGACTTCGATTCCAGAAGCTGCACTGGCTTGTTAGCGGCAAGGAACTTCGAAAGGCATGTAATGTCATCCATCGATTCGTAGACTGTGTTATACACAAGGCTCTCATAACTGGCGCCGATAAAGAGCAATCTGGGAGACCGCCTTTCCTGAGAAATATCGCCCAGTATTACCCTGGGCGAGACACGCTAAGAGGTCATACTATCAGTATTCTCACAGCAGGGAGGGATACTACAGCTACTTTCCTATCCTGGACCTTGTAAGTCGCGCCTGTCTTAGTAAGGTTTAATACGTCGGATTCTCACATCAAGTTAGCTTTCATCTCGTGAGGCATCCGTCAATTATGGCAAAACTCCAATTAGAGATTTCTCAAGTGGACGAGACTATTGCTCCCTTAACACGAGCAGATCTGCTTCGATTCACTTACCTTCAAAACATCATGAAAGAAGGTGAGTTGGGGTCTCCACGAAGTCTGGCTGCTCAATTTATCTGATATGGTATTCGAAGTATTAAGATTACACCCTCCGCTACCCCTGATATCTCGCACCGCACTTCGGGATACGGTGCTCCCGGCTGGGGGAGGATCTGACGGGAAGTCGCCTATCCTCGTCCCGAAAGGGATGAGTGTACTATATAGCGCCTACTGTATCCATAGACGACCCGATCTCTACGGAATGGACGCCGAACTGTTCCGCCCTGAAAGATGGGGCGAGGAACCCCTCCGTTCTCGCGAAACGACACATCGTGGATGGACGTTCCTACCTTTCGGCGGTGGCCCACGGACTTGTTTAGGGAGTATGCTAGCAGTCTATGCTAAGGATTTTGAAACCTTGTATGCTGACTTGATCTACTACTAGTGGACTTTTCCTTAACCGGGGGCGCGTATGCTATAGTGCGCATCCTGCAGCGCTTCTCTTCCATCAGACTCCCGGCCGGTGAGCGGATACAAGTGTCGGGCAAGGAAAGACAGATGGCAACGATATCTCTGAAGCCAGCTGACGGATGTAAGGTGGACCTAGGCAAGGAATGATGATTCCTTTGGGAGACCGTGTTATATGTACATGGAATTATTAGTACCAAGAGGTAAAATTACTACTTATAAAATCATGACGATCGAGTCTGCCCTCTTAAAACAATGGTAGGCATTAAAGAAAGGATGACGTGACACTGATACAGAGGAATCGAGTTAGCACATCCTATCTCGACGATCGATTACTCTTTTCTATCGAATCGCACGTAGAATTTTAGGTGAAATGATGTTGATTCGTTTAAGTTCATAATAATTGGGTAAAGCCCAGTGTAATTCTGGTATATGTAGGTAGTAATAAGTAGGTACGTAATACCACCACGGACGTATGTAAGAAGTTTTCAGTTTTAAATACTCGGGGTCGCCGATATTCTATTGTTCGTATCCTCAGTGGATCGTTTCCGCTCTACTAAGAATTAGAAATTCTCATGAACGAGAATATAAGCTGAAAGCACTTTCTTTCGTACTAATAAATATCTAGAGCCTCTTAGCTGCCGAGACAGAGTTTAGTGACAGCGTTTAGTGCTCTTGAGTCATGGAATAGTGGGATGTACCGCTCGAGGGCAAAGCACATCTATTTATCTTGATCCGCCGGCGAACGATTAACCCATTTCGGATTTGATATCGGTGATATCGGAGAAATGTAACGGGTTTGGTATGTATTCATGCTGGTAATTCTACGCTTTTCTAGATTTGTTATGGAAGTTTTGTTTTTTCTATTAACTAACCCTAACAGCAGATCGAAGGATGGCAGAAAAGCTATCTCCTATTAAGGCTGATTAATTGGCAATTATATAGTGCATAATACTGCATATTATCTTAATACCGTAGGGCTGGGTTTGAAACGAGCCTGTTTGTTTATATGATCACCTGGTATTCGTACGGAATATGCTTGAATGGGGTTGCCAAGATGAGCTGACGAACCCCTTGTCGCCCTGGTCTATGCTGAGGGGATCAAAGCGCAAGCGTCCCCCCCGGAACCATACATTTTCCTTCCATGAACTTGGACCAGCCCCCTTACTATTACACCCTCCAACTTCCCCCGTTCTACACTAGAATCGAGAATCGTTCCCTGATATTCCTGTCGAGGACTCACAACCCATGCGAAGCACGTTACTTCTAGCGTGACAACTTCTGTTTCGCAATAATATGCAAACGCTCATTTCGAATACGCCCCCGATGGGTGTTACATTGCCGGGAATATACTTATAATCTCGATTTGGTAGCGATCGGAACTAGGAGATGGGTAGGAAACATCTAAGTACATGCCTTAGATCTCATGTACCAAAAGGGTCGATCGAATAAAATATTAGGGTTAGATCATTCTAAGATTACTTGTACTTATTAACTAGACCTTCATCAAAAGTACCGTAGAGCTATAAAACAGCCCATAAATACGAAGTATCAGGTTAGCAAGTTTATCTAAGCGACTTGAGAACAGACTGTAGGGTCAAGGTTCGAAACTACTATCAATCCAGCTAAACCATGATGCGGATAGCTTCAACCATCATAGCTCGAGATCGGCCGGTATAGTTTCTGTAAAAGGTAAAGCTCGTGCTTCCGTGGAACCAGAATTGCAGAAATGCCAGGTTGGATTGCCTGCCAAGCCTCGAGTTTAACCGTCTGTTCTGTAGCATTTCCTAGTGGTAACCAACCTATCGGTGTCCAGCTACATGGATTCCCTATTTCGAACTTCGGACTCTAAGCTCTATTATTCCATCATTATATCTCCTTTCCAATCGCTATCCCGGCGGCGCAGGTTACTAGGTTCTAGCTTCGGGGATCAACAAGGGCTAACCTGTGGGGAGATACTGATAGTAAAGCAAGGCGAACTTATTAGACAATGACGACTCCACTACGAAAGAAAACCTAGATGCTACATAGATGAACGACATCTATCGTTTTTCTCTTCTTACATACCTTTCTCGCCGATTGCGCTAACGGACGTCGAGCGAGATGTTTTAAAGATCGGCATCCTGTCATGGAAATCATACTCGTCTAAATATACCGAACGTTCTGGCAGGGCTCCGGACGAGCCCGAGGAGAACTCGGCGACGAGATGAGCTACTACTACAATGGTATGGACGCGGAGGAGCTCAGTCGTCTCCCGCACGACAACCGCGCCAGCGATACGATATCGGCTGTAGTTCTGTGTATGTTTTTCGCGACGACGGCTGTGGTTTTACGATTATACACGAGGTACTTCATTCTGAAGGGGGTTTGGTACGATGATTATATGGCATTGGCCGGAATGGTAAGCCATCTATCACGCCTGCAAACTGATATCAATATGCGGTGAACAATACCTAACTTGTTCTACTAGATCGGGATGCTTTCCAATGGCATAGTACAATGCGTACACACAGGATTCGGGCTCGGCGCGCATATCTACGACATACAGGACGAAAAACAACTAGTTCAGTTCTTCAAAGTAAGAATACTGACGCTCCCACCGTAGCCCGACTGGCGAAGTTCTAATTTATCCGCTACAGTTACTCTACGTCATGACAATTACTTACAATACGGCCTTGATGCTTATAAAATTCAGTTTATTCCTCCAGTATTACCGGCTAATCCAGGAGGTACCTCATTACCGTATATTCTATCTCGCCACGATGGCTGTAGTTGGAGGCTGGCTTATTGCGCAAGAATTCACTCTTATTTTTCCGTGTTCGCCCATACGAGATTACTGGACGTTCGGTCCCGACCACAAGTGTCTGGATGGTCATCTTATCGGATGGATGAACGCTGTCGGCAATATTGTAACTGATTTAATCATCCTTGCACTCCCTATCCCAGTTGTGATGTCTTTGAACTTGAAAAGGGGAAGGAAATGGGCAGTTCTAGGCATTTTCGCTCTGGGGTTCTTGTGAGTATCTCATATCCATCCAAGCCGCATCATTATCAGCTCTCCTAACTAGCAAAAGCACATGTATCATATCGATATGCCGCATGGTATTCTTCGCCAAACTAACCGATGATATCTCATACGATCTCGTGCCAGTTGCGGCGTGGGGGGAGGCCGAGTCTGCCTCTGGACTTATCTGTTCGGCGCTTATGGCATTGGGACCACTGATCCGCCGATTTTCCCGCTATTTTAAACTTGGTAAAAAGACAACAAGTACACCACCAATATATTCGCAGAGGTATTTCGGCCCCACGAATCGGGACAAGAGCTTATTAAGAACGAACGGTTCTAGGAGACCTTTCGACGGTAGCGAGACGGAGCTCAACCACATGGATCTCGAAGGATCGCGGAAAACAGATGGGCAAGATGACGGAAGATCGATCCGAAGTACTAAATCCTCAGAAGCGTCGATGCCTAACCTTAAGCTAAACCTCGAGACTGGGATAAAAACGATTATAAGTACGGGGAATCGCGATAGCATGCATTCTCAGTCGTTATCCATGGCACCTAACGGCATTGTAGTAAAGCAAGTGTGGTCTGTTAGAAATAGAGAGCCCGATGAAGAGGACGGTTGAATTATGATTAATATAAAGATAAAAATATCGCTGAAGTGCTTTCTCATAGCATCATATCTTATGACTCTGACTCGGTATTATATATCCTAATATTCTAGGATATCCTAGGGCTCCTTATATTTGTCGGGCTTCGGTTCTACATCTCGTTGCAGGGTAGAAACTATACCCAGCAATTCCCTATTCATAGTGTCACTGCCCGACTGATCCTGATAGTTCATAACTATTAAACTTATTGGGGTTCAAACGCATAGTTGCACCACTCATTAAGTTGGCATGTCCCCCCAAGCGCCCCTATTATTTTTACTAACATTTAGCTTTCTAAGATTGAGATCTACTAACCCCCTTCTATTATACACAAGTTTCATTAAACACGTACACAGTAAATCATGTCACAATGATGATCAATTGCTCTGCTATATAAGTGTATTATTTTTGTAACATCTACCGTTCTTAGCTTTGATTCCCTCTCAAGTATAAGCAGTAAACCGAAACTCAACCAAGCATAGCCCCTTGATGTCTAGAAGATATATGAAGGACAATAATGGGCGGGCCGTTCTTTTTTTGGCATCATATGGGGACAATGAGGGAGGTCAACCATCAACCTTACCTGATCGTGAGGGCAGGGACAATAGTGATCCATTGATTCACTCGTGTCGTGGAGGCAAGGGCAATAATGGTCACAATAACCTTCGGTCTTCCAGCGTGCTCGAAAACAGAAGTGGTCAAGGAGCCCTTCTGTATTGTGAAGAGGACACCCCGCAGGCATTGCAAGTTCGCAAGAATCGATTAAAACCTCCTGTCTTGCATGACTGGGACAATATGGTCCGCAATCACGTTGGTCTGCGTTATATTTGAATAGTTCGAAGACCCTGTCATCCCCATCAAGTACGTATTTGTTATCCCGGTATGCTGCAAAGTCAACTGGCTTCCCGTTTTCGTCAATAGCAACGTGAATAAAGCCATATAGAACTAGATTATCTGGGGTAGTACCGAAAGCTACGGCGATATGGGGATCTGTGCGCCTAGTTCTATTACGGAAGTTTATACGATCAGGGTTCCAAATATGGATTCTCTTCCCATTTCTATCAACGTACATCGTAGACTGCACAGCGCATCTAATATAGACGTTTGTTACTGTCTCGAGACTTCGAGCTGCTTTCCGTACAATATCTTCATTGGCTTCTCTGGTTATGGTATCGCTAGGGATCGCCCCTAACCAAACCAGTTCAGGATCCTCGATTGTGCCACTGCCAGATATTCGATCTTGGTCAGTCTCACCTACGAATCTAGGTCTCGGTTTACCTAACGGCATGTCCATACCCTTATTCCAGGGCTCAAAATCACCATTCATCATAGTCTTCTTAGGTGGTGGGCCTTCTGAATGGCTGGCCGTTTTCGTGATTATTTCATTTGTTTCCAAGGAAATTTCCTCGGCCTTTCTCTTGAAAGAGACATCCGGACTGAAGTCGCTTCCCATTACGAATAATGCTAGGGTACCTAAGTAGCTTGGAAGATGTGATACTTTAATTGAAATAGTTCTCTTGTGGGCGTATCTTAAAAACCGGCGAGGGAGCTTCTGAATGGAGGACTTGGTTTAAATATAAAGATATCAAAAAATGAGATTTTCTTTGAGGTTGCTTATTATACAAAGTCGTTGTTTTAATAAAAATGTGATGAACTAAGAATATTGCAGGATTTGAAAACCAACAATGAAACGAGCTGCCTAATCAATAGAACAAGGCGTTGAGAATTAATATTGGATAATAATTATGAATTGAGTTCCCGTTCGTTTTGCTACTGGTTTGGGTCCTTAGGTTGAAGTATCGCAATCACGAAGGCAAACAGAATAGCTTAGGTTAACAACGTGACGAGAAAAGGATCGCGAATCAGAAGGTTATTTAACTCTAGTAAATTGATACTCAATCCCTTTTCATATCCAACCCTTGTGTAAATTTATACAGTCTTTCCATACTCCTGGCTAGAAAATGATGGTAATCCATGCAGCATAGTTGCGTTAAACAACCTGATGCTCCCCTTCTGGACCAGTAAGATATATATATACGAATAAAGGGATGCTCGTACAGACGGCCGGCCGTAGGCAATATATACAACCGTGAATCGAACAAAAGGGAAAGTAATTAAGCAGTTATGCTCACCAGCCCGACACCGGGTTGTCTCCCGGGAGTTGCGGGATCCACGCCTCAGTTGGGTCGGGGTTAACAGCGGGAATCTGGCAAATCTCCGTGTTCAAGCCTCCTGGTATGTCAGGGCACGTATCCATTCCGACGAAGCCAGCATTGCACGTGTCGATGATCCTTTGAAGGGTATTCTGATCCCATCCGGAGATGAAGTCCGCGTGGGAGCTGTATCCGGTCCGGTCGCCGTTCGACAACACAAACGGCTGGGTCTGGCCATCCGCAGTCCACTCGTTCTGGAACTGCAGGGTGTCGTAGTAGACCTCATAGAATAGATGGGGGACATGCACCCAGCCCTGGGGACAGTCCGCCTTGCCATCGTTGGTAGGCGTCGGCCACGCCATGTTGTTCTTGTAGTCGTCCAACCCAGCTTCCGGGTTGTAGCAAGAAGGCATGTGAATATCCTGCCTAAGAGGGGAAGCATAGCCATCGCAGTTCACTACGGGGAAACCAGCTCCGGCACCAGCATTCACTGGGTCCGGAAGTCCCGCTTTAGTGCCATCCGAACCGGCCGGGTACCGCGCAATGTTGGCATCTTGCGTGGGACATGTCCACTGAACTGCTTGAATCTCGCCTTGGGTGGGGTTGAGCTGGAGACCCCCTGTTGCCGGTGGCGTTCTCCTGTCAACCTCGCCGCTCATAATCTTGATGCCCGGAGGGAAGGCTTTAATCTCATCGTTTGTGGCATCGAAGCTGACGCATCGTTAGAAGCTGGCTAACAGCGACTCGGAGTTGAGACTTACAAGTAATAGACGTTCATATAGAACAAGGGCACCTTCTTGAAAGTACCGTTGGCCGGGGATTGAAACCATAAGTTAGGAACCCAGTAATTCGATTTGTCGTTGAGGATCTTAGCGTTGGTGCAATCGGCATCCAGGAGCTGGTCACCGCTAACGGTCACATCGAAATTGCTTCCACCCATGACTCCGTGAGAGTGCGTCTTATCTGAGCCGGGGCTGACGATGGGGTCCATTCGACCCTCCGTAGAGAATTGGCCACCAGCATTATTGAAGCGCAGTACGGCATAAGTTCCTTGGTCCTTTGCGCTCACGCCTGCGACCAGCGCAGCGAGGAGGTATGAAGTGGAAGCTTTCATTGTGAATGAGAGATCTGAGATAACCGCTGCAGATCACATCTCTTCCTTATTCTGCCGCGTAGGACCACCAGATATATAGTTTTCAGATCTTTCGTATGCTTCTTCCGAATATAGCACATCTGGAGCCAAAGGCTGAAACACTCATCCTTAAACGCATTTTCACTTTTTCTGGTCGACTTTAAGGGTTGTCGGCGATAGCTAAATTATCCAGACAGGCTCTTGCAAGCTAAAACAGGTAGGTATTTGTAGGTTGAAACCAAACTTATCAGCTTGTCTTTATTGGTAACATGACATATCAGTTATGTTGATGGTATTGTGTAGATGTAAATTGTCAGGGTTGGGGGAGGATTCAGGAGCTGAACTGAGGGAAAATGAGCTTCCGAATTGAGCATCTACACACGCATTTTCGTCCATTCCACCACGTCTAAAAATAACTGCTCTCACAACTTTTATGAAGTACCTAGATGGCCGAAATAAGAAATATAGGCAAGAAGCTGAAGCAGGCATAAATGCGTGACTACAGCTACAAACACGATGAGTCTTAATCGCTTCATGATCAAGCGGCATCTTATAAAGTCCAATTATGAACCGGTTCAAGAATCTTAATGATTAATCATAAAATTCTATCGGCATATCTCTTGGGGGGTTTGACTTGCGAACTACGACGTATTAAAGACATGGCTGACTTGTCTTACTACATCGCTTATCTGGTATTGATTGAATTGGCATATTGCTAACTCGAGATATCTGCAGGGTGAGGGCGCGACGTTTATTTCTGATAAACCACTCGGTTCCTCGCGCATTGTAAACATAGATACCTAGAACCTAACATGTCGGATTAGATTTCTTCGTTGAGGCTCTCCCACGTGGTTTTTTCGTGAGCGCCCAATCCTAGCATCTAGGTACTATGGAAGGTTGAAGTTGTACCATAAGGTAGTGTTATTAGTTATAGTTAGAGGAGATCTAAGAAGTCCTGGAATATGTTATTGATCGCGATTATAATACTATGCAGTATGTTAAATTTCGGTGTAGTGCATCACAGGGATTCATAATTCAACTTGGAAGCTTTGGTGGTGAGATCTAACATCTCTAAAGCTCAGTCTAAAGCCAAAAATAGGGTTATTGCGAGAATGTTTGGATAAACATTAAGACTCGTATCAATGGATACTTATCACGCTTAGTCTTAAGCCTACCTAAGTTGATGGAAATGAGAGTAAGAAGAAAAGCCATGAAGTATAGATGAAAATGAGAGAGCTTTTTTCATGGACAAACCTCCGCTACCCAGTCTGGATATCATATTACGCGTGTTAAGCTGTACGGAAAGGGACTTGCATATACGAGCATCTTACACCGGTCTTCGGGGCGTTAATATACGTAAACTAAGAAATTGACGTAGCATAGAAGGGTCAAAACATCATAGCCAAAAGAGTGTCAACGCGTCATGAACCATCTTGGAGTTAACAATTAGCCGGCAGTTCATTTGTTATCTACCGTCGTAATGTCGACTCCCAAAAGAGCATCCGAGACCGTTCTCCACACGCTTGGTTTGCTTGAAAAGGAATCCGGTGAACCTTTTTGCTTGGCGAACGGATTATGTTCTGGATATTATAGATTTATAATCAAGCCCTAGACACAAAAGATTGAAAACGTACCTGGTCACTCGTTAATTCCTTGCACCTCATCCCGTCGCTAGTTTACACATGTCGATAAAGATGCTGAGGTTTACGTCTTTAGTTGCACTCTTGAGCATTGGTGCTTTAGCTAGCGCGACGGCGCCGGAGGACTGCCCTGCTACAGGCGTCTCTATAATCGCCCATAGCGGCGACCCGGTCGGAAAGGAGCAGGTCTATGAAGGGAGTATGTGTCTTGGTCTAAGGAAATGTTGATAATGATAATTGGCTGACTCTGATATAGTCAACATGTATGTCACGGGCAACGCGTCAGATGTAGGCGTGTTATATTTGACGGATGTGTTCGGTATCCAATTGCTAGAAAATAAACTGTTCGTCACGATGATACTTTGTTTATTGGGTTTAATTAACATCATTCAAGACTCGCGGATAGCTTCGGACGAGCGGGCTATCTTACGGTCGCGCCGGACTTGTTCAACGGCACACCGGCTCCGGGGGATATCAACGGGCAACCGGATTTCAATGCGACCAAGTTCCTTGACGATCATCGGCCCGAAGTCAGCGATCCGATTATTGCGACGGCCATTGACTTCTTGCGCACCACGCTCGGCGTAAAGAAAGTCGTCGTTACCGGATACTGTTTCGGCGGTCGCTACACGTTCCGTTTCTTAGCAGAGGGGAAAGGTGCCGACGTGGGTTTTGCTGCTCATCCAAGTTTACTAGAGGACGCGGAGATTTCCGCAATACGAGGCCCAGCTAGCATCGCAGCGGCAGGTTGGTGACTTTCGTTAGCCTTTACAATATCTCTTTACAAGCTAACTTGACCTTTAGATGCAGATGATATGACACCGGCCGCAAGGCGGTCACAAATTGAAGCTTTGCTTCTTGAGACTGGGCTACCTTACTCCCTTGCATTATATGGCGGCACTTCACATGGATTTGGTGTCCGAGCCAACATTTCGGACCCGAAGCAGAAGTTCGGAAAAGAAGAGGCTTTCTTCCAGGCTATCAGGTGGTTCAATGCATGGGCTTAATCCTGTTGGGTACGTCTAGTCTGTAGAGTACCCAACCTAGGTGGTTAATGAGTATATGTGATGTGAAAACCGAAAACACAGATGTAGAAGTGTACATGGACCCGATGAAGATCTCGTACGCATTGTGCATTAAAGAGTAGCAGAACATCGAGCGTAACCCTAACAATCGTGTTGTTATGTTTCGGATGAATAGTAACAGCGGTAATCCTGAAGTCATGGTAATTTGCGTTTAGACACGAGTCAAAACCGGGGAACCTCAGCAGGGGGAGTAAACAGATGTGGATCTTGAGATTATCAACGTTGGCCTGATCAACGTGTTGTTCATATGTAGTTAGATGTTGATATGTAATATGTAATATGTAACTGACTTATAAAGTCGAGCTAGACTTGGAATGAAATTGGATTAGGTACAATTAACTTTTTCTGGGAGCAAAACATAATCGATAATGGTTCCTAGCTCATGGTAAAATAGATTAAGTGAAGATTGGGAGATTGGGAGATCGTAAATGCGAATTTCGCGGGGTACTTTTTGCGTCTAAGCGGAGACATTAAGACCAATTGTCGGTCGGAATCTCGGCAAAAGCTATTAGTACGGTTAGTACGGTGAGGTGGACTTTGTCCACGTCATTTGTTGTTGCATAGCGCCTACGTTGGTTGGCTGAACCTGGCCTCGCTAACGCAGGAACAATTGGCTATCAAGGTACCTCGGCAGCCTGGCCAACCACCCGCAAAAACAAAGTACCTCTTTAGGTCGTAGGAAGACTTGGCGGCTAGCTTGGACCCACTTACGCTTGAGGCTTTCACTGGGTGCATCGCTCTGGCAACCCCCAGCCACATCTTTTATTTACTCGGACCAGGCCTTGGCCCGATATCATCACGGAAATCCCGGTGGCAGGGCCAATTGCAGATTCTACTGCAACTCATGCATCTACATCTTTGATACATCTTTGAATCATACATTCGATCTTTACCACCAACCTCCTCTTTTCTGCCACACTGCTACAATTGTACTGTCAACGGGCAAAAGGAGGGAAAGAAGACTTGGAACCTGCTAACCATTACCAGTCTCCATAGACAATTCTACTCTTCTTCCCCATCTGGGCTTTTCTCAAGGGCAAAGGGCTGTTGTCCAGAAGAAACCGATTGAACTTCTAAGTTACAATACCTACCTAATCATATCATACCACTACCTTTTACCATACCAATTTACTTACTCCTCACCTTAATCCACCCTACCTCGTCCACCCAGCAACCCAGAACTGCACAATACCCCCCCGTGCCGTGTATTCCAAGTGTTGATCTGACAAGCACAGAAAAGGACAGGCGACATCTAGTATCGACGAGTAGAAGTTGTTTCGACGACGTCCGCTTTATTTATATACGTGCCGACTACCCAAGTCTAAGCACGGTGACCGCATTCCACACGACGGCCGTGGGATTTTCGAGATTAACAGTGCTTTCGCATTCCGTCTCGAGCATCCCCTCCACGGCGCCCGAATATCGTCGCATTCCAGCCTTGGTGCTGCTCGAGTTCGTCAGACCACACCGTCGCTCCCCGGGAGGACGGGAGTGGAGAGAGGGCAACACACCTCGGGAACTTTGGGAAATAAAGAGAAACGATGGCTAGATTTCAAATCGGTTGGTATCGTAAGTACACCTAACCAGCCTGTCGAGGAACTGTCGTGGTCGGCCAGTACTAACAAGAACTTCAGGGTTTATACCGTTCCTCGGGTACCACCATGTTTTGATGATACTAATAGCAGTTTCGATAATATTACTGTGTATGTTGATCACATTCCAAAGTTTCCCCCCTCATTCAGACCGTTGTACTAACATTCCTTTACCGACAGCACTTCTATTAGCAGGTTGTTCATCATCCTCACCACTCATACCCGACATCTTCCTACTTTCCCTCTACTACGAGAAGTACACGGCCGTGCCGGACACAGCACAGGTCGACTACAATGTCAACCAAGCCATCAGCAACATCGTCGGGACTGCGCATCTGCAGGCCCGCGTCGGCTACTTTGGTATTTGCATCAACCCGGACGGAGGCTCCTGGCTATGCAGCAACAACGCAACGGCGCTGGCCAACGAGGTTTCAGTCGACCAGGACCCGCTGAACCTCATTTGGTTGGCTAGCCAGTTCAAGGACATGATCGTGTTCCCTTACTTGATCATCATCGCCATTATCTTCGCTTTTGTCTGTTTCTTGCTGCTGGCTACCTTCCCCGGCTGGCACGAGGAAGAAGACGAGGACGGTTCGGACCGCGAGATCAAGCCGTTCCCTAGCCGACCCGTCTCCCAGGTCGCATTGGCCATCATCTTCATTGCGTCTATTTTTGTCCTCGTGTCCGTGCTATGGCAACATACGGCATCGGTAGCCGCGTCTGTCATAGCCCAAGATTTTGGCAACGGCAGCGTCTTATCCGGAATCGGCAGCAGCGCTATGGTTATGGGTTGGTTTAGTTTCACGCTGCTCATCATCGTCACGATCGGTCTGCTGGTGATGATTCTAAGTATCAGGGTGCTGTCAGCATTAGCCGACTAAAACGGGAATGAGGGAGGATAAAACGGCACGGAAGTATATTTTCGGAAAGGGCACTACGGCGGCGTGTCTATGTGTATATGGGAGGGAGGGTTCGTCCGCTAAAGTACACGACGATATATATTGTTGAATGGTCAGCATCTGGGATCGGAGTTGGCAAGAAAGGGGATCCTCGGTGAAATAATGATTTTTGGTTTTTCCCCCTTTCACCTTGAGTTACCGGGTTCGCCGGCTCGGTTTAGTTTTTGCCTACGAACGGTGCCGTCGACGGTGTCTTTACGAAACGATTCGGAAACAGACACGAGGTTAGGAGAAGAGGAAAATATCGACGAATTACATATATGAGGGTCAGTAATGAAGAGATGATAACAGATGAAGACCTGGAATTTCTGCGCAATGGAACACGCTGTCATGATTTAGTGAAGCGGCGTGCTGAAATCGCAGAGTTAGAAGTTCCTAGCTACGCATAGGATTTTGTATTACTTAGAAGAATGGCATCTTTGCACTTGGGACTCGGTTTATTGATAGTGATGGCATTTGAATGTGATTGATCAATTGAACTCGACTCTCATGAACCTGGCTTGACTTTATTGCATTTTAAATGTTTTGATTGTGACTTGTTGAATAGTGACTACGGGTTGTGTTGTCTAGATTGAAATTGTGACTGCAAAATCTCGTGGGCATAGATAGGTACCTAACATAGATTGAGATCACGACGAAGACGGGAGGAAGAGTTGATGAGTGATTTGAGGTAAATAATGAAGGGCGATGTATGGTATTGGGGATACCACTTCTAGAAAATAGTTTAGACATACAATAAAAACAGTGATACACCAATCTACTGATGCATCTATCGTGAACTTCATCGGTCATATTGCGAACGAAACAATGGAACTGCACCCAACGGTCTCGAGATTGATCAGAGAAAGCGAAGATGATTTATTAACTGCATTCTAATAAACACCATACGCCTACAACTATTTACTCTATACTAATTACTAGATCTTCCTCATGGCAATGCATCCAGGCATCGCGCACAATGAAAATCAAACGGGTTTGAAAGAGAGCAAAAATTCCGGGAACTACGATCCACGAAGGATAATAGAAGAGGGTCGACTCCGCGCTGTGCAATGCAGGTCTCCCCCCTTAAAAGCCCTGATTCTTGAGCGAGGGCTTTTCTCCCAAGGTAAGTATGAAGAAAAAAGGAAAAAGAATTCCTAAGATGGCGGGAGGGAAGACGGATATTTATATCTTTTTGGGGGAGGGGATGTTGGGAAGTGGGGCGGTCACTTAGTACCTACCTGCTCATTGTTGTGACTTTGGCAGTTGCTTGTAGTGGTCTGTGTTACCCGTCTTTCAGGCACTGACTGTACTTTATTTTCCTACTTGCACGGTGCGTTTGGTGGCAGGTACGTATCTCGTACGTACGTACCTATCTCCTCAAAAACAACAACAGGTACATAGGTACCTAGTTACATCAATTTATGTATCTACCATCTTCATCTTGATCAGACAAAGTCACGATGCTTCACCCATATGTCGAATTCAAGGATATACGATTTCTTCTATCTCGTACCTAACCTAGGTATCTACGTAAATCGTATAAGTTACGTTACTACATATGTACAGCAGACAGGTAAGAAGCTCGGCGAGAATGACAAGGGTGTCTATTGGCTGCCTAATACAACTTCATCATTCGAGCCGAGCTACCGCGCCGTTATGCTCGCTTGCAAGTTATGCCCTGTCATCTATCCATCGGTACAATACAGGGTGTGACATACTGAACCAAACGCGGGGGAAATATAATAATACACAAAAACTTCTACTCATAATAGACGTCTAACAGTAACAGCATCAACAATGGCATTATCATCATCCGTCACAACACTGATTCCCACCGGCGATATCTCACAATGGTGTCTATACCCCAGGAACTCCCGCGCAACCCTATTCGGTCCCAGCTGCCCTCAACCCTATGAAGAAGGCACTTCCATCTCACCCGCCGACTTCCAGGGTATATGCTGCAACGGCGTCATCGTCGACACCTCCTTCGACATATACAGCAACTCCTCGCCCATCACCCCCTACTCCGACCCAAATGCCGGGCCGCCCCGCCCCGTTAACCTGGAGGACCTGGTCTGCTGCGGCGTCACCGGCGTTCAGACCGCTGCTATCAATTTCACGCCCAGCCCTAGGACTGCCTGCGCCCCGGGTACCACTGGCACGCCGCTGGCCAGCTTGGCCGCGACGAACGTCACCCGGGCTACGCAATATCCCGTCACGTACGCGGATAGCACTCCCCCGTCGAGCAGCGTTGATGCGTCGGCCACCGTGACGAATGATCTCTGGGGCTGGGCGAGCCCGACGTACGGCGCGTCGGGAATGCCTATATGTTTTCTGGCTAACACGAAGGCAAGCGGTGTTAACCTGGCTGAAGTGACGGTACCGGCAACGTATCTTCCCCCGATTACTTCGGCTACGGGCCCGGGCTCGGCTGCAGAGCCCACCTCGTCGCCTTCGGGCGCTGGATCTTGGGCTGAGCCGAAGACTCGCCTGTGTCTTACACTGGGGCTCGTGACTATTGCCCTGTTTATAATATAGTGATCGGCTTTGCTAATTCTTTCTCTATTCCTGTACGATTAGATGAGTTGGAAATGATGTACACGATATTTGGCATGCTTAGTATTTATGATATCTTGATAGAAATGTACAATTGTTAATTACTATGATACGTCTTATGAACGATGAAAGTGTGGAGCGATAGTTTCGTCACCAATAAGACATATTTAATGCAATATACAATTTGCTATCGGTATTGCGCAATTCCATGTTTTAACCTAGGTTTGGATCTTTCTAAATCTATCTTGCACGGGTATCTATTCAAAACTCTCCTCTTTCAAGGTATCGTATATAAATCCACTACATATACACCTATCACCAACGGGTAAAAGCACATCAAGCAAGCCAAAACCACACCTTTTCATACCAATTCCGTGGCACTCGCTCCTCTTCTGCCGCACCTAGATCGTCCATCTCCTTCTTACCCGTCCAGACATCCACGTCCTCGACCCTGGTCGCCAAGGGCGTGCGGTAGAAGATCTTGTGCGCGAGGTACAGGACCAGGAATATCGGGATGGTGATGTACGCGGCGAGGAAGTTGGATACGCTCCACTCCGACGGGAAAAAGATCTGGAACCCGTTGGTCAGGGTCAGGATCACGATGATGAACAGCACGATGTATGTGGCGTACGGCTGCAGCGGCGTCCGGTACGGTAACGCGTCGAGTAACCCGTGGTGTTCCATGGCCTTCCGGAATCGTATGTATGTGATCATGACTACGATCCACGCGATGAAGCCTGAGATGGTCGAGATATTAGTGAACCATTGGAACACCTGCGCACCTGAGTTGGACACGTTGAGAAAGGCTAGACACGCAACCACCAGGGTGAAAAGTACCGCCACATACGGTACACCTCGTTTCGTGGTACGCCCGAACCACCGCGGCGCTTGGCCGTTGATCGACATAGAGTAGAGCACACGCGACCCCGAATAGCAGAACGCGTTACCGGCAGACCAAGCCGACGTAAGAACCGCAGCGTTGATAACGTGGTTGAGCCCCCTAATCCCGGCGCGCGAGATACCGAGGACGAAGGGGCTAGCGGTCGCGTTCGACTCGCCCGTCAGGTTCTTCTCATCGTAAGGGACGATGATGCCAATAACAAGAGAGCCCAGGCCGTAGAATACAGCCAATCGCCACACGAAGCGGCGCGCCGCCTTAGGGATGTTGCGCCGCGGTGCGACGGTCTCACCCGCCGAGAGCGCGATGAGCTCAGGCGACGTGACGAACGAGAACCCAGCGCGCGCAAAGGCCGTCCAATAAGCCAAGAACCGACCGGTATTCCCCTCCACCAGATACGAGTGGAAAGCTCCCGGTTGCTGCCAGTACTTAAAGTACAGAGGATCGTGTGTTGGTCCGCCGCCGAAAAACAGGACGATACCCAGGATGATCAAGCCGGTTATGGTAATAAGCTTTACACTCGCGAACCAGAACTCGGCCTCGCCGAAAAACGAAACGGCGACGATGTTCAGCAGCAAGATGACGATGAGCTGTATGGCGATCCAGACGGCTACGGGGACGGCGGTGGTCCAGTACTGCAGGATTATAGCGCCGGCCGTGCACTCGGCGGCGAGCAGCATGGTGTAGGTGTACCAGTAGTTCCAGCCGTCGGCGAAGGCGAGACTGGGTTCGACGAAGCGGCCGACGAAGTACGGGATCGATATACCTTTCATGGGTAGGTACGTCACCATTTCCGCGAGGTTATTCATGATGACCCAGACCACAAACATCATAGACAGGTATGCCATGAACAGCGGCGCCGGCCCGGTCGTGGCTAGGATCTGGCCGGAGCCGACGAATAGACCGGTTCCGATTCTAGAATCGTTTAGCAACTAGCTTAGGTACCTAACTACACCAATTCACCAAAGACGCGCAAGACATGCTGCGTATGCAAGGGAGAGAGGTTAGGTAACTTACGCTCCTCCGAGAGCAAGGAATTGAATATGTCGACTCTTAAGCCCTCTCTTGAGCTGATAACCGCTCTCGAGGTTCATCTCCCCGACCCGATTCGACATGGTGCGGTCAACCACATCGCCTTTCGGCTCGGACTCGACGCGACTAGAGTCGCCCGTGGCATACGCCACCTCTTCGCTCTGGCGGCCCATCTTCCACTCTCGCGAGACGGATTCAAAGCTGTGGTTTCATGCGATAGGACCCCAAGGAAGTTGCTTTAAAAAAAAACAAAAAACAACAACAACAACAACACTTGCTTGCACGGATCTTCCTCGCATAGACGTAGACGTAGACGGAGGTATAAGGCGACAAGCAGCGATTGGCACAGACGGTAAGGAATGTGAGGTGCAACGTGCGATGCGCAATGCAAGTAAGACGCGCTCAGCACATGATATGATATGTAAAAATATCGAAACCTTCTAGATTTATTATCACGAGGGCCGCATCTTATTAGAAGGTGGTGTTACGTTAGGTACATACCTACCTACCTTAGCTACCTACATAGGTACATATAAGAGATACATACAGCGTTCCCATTCCTTTTCGTCTGGATAGGGTTTAGTGGACTTTTGCACCTGGTTGGCCTTCCTAAACCGCAGCATCTGGGTCGACCGTTGCCTCTTGAGGATTAGCGAGCTGCGGAGAAGATGGTTTACATAAGATTTTAGTTATTTGTTATGGTAAAGATAACTTGGAGAGATATGATCCCTACCTTACCTACATTAGATAGGCCCGAACAAGCTGACAACTGGGTGGGACTTATCTCTAAGCCATGTTTAAGCGTAGCAGTTCTTGTTATAGATGTTGCAATGACATGTATAAAAAAACATTTAAAGGGTTAATGTGTGACAGGCTAAAGCTTCATTGTTCGATACGAAAATCTATCCTTACCTACATAGGACCTACATAGGTAGGTATCGCCCCTATCATCTTGGCAGAAGCTCATGTAAAAGAAATCTATGACGATGCACGAATACATACACCACCGTCGGTGTCTCAATTTGGCCTAGGTATGATATCTCTAAGGCCGTCTCTATCCGAGCTTGCCCACTGTTCCCAAAACGCCGATGACACCAAGTCGGTGAAGCTGGAATCTCATCGAGATAATTTATATACATATATATTTTGTCTCGTCTGAGATATGCGACAGACTACACTGCTTATCATGTCGGGATGAGCTGGACGAGTGAGGGTAAATGGATGGATGGTGTTAATGTGGTGGATGTGATGACGACGCATCACCCCTGCACTTACATGGAACAGCTCAATAAGTAGTCCACGAATTCCACGACTCCCGTAGAATAGAGTATCCAGCAAACGAATGCTCAACTTTTAACCAAAACCTAGCCAAACTTGACTTCTCACCGCTGACCTACCGTGGTTTTGTATTCTATGTGAAAAAAAAAAAGAAAAGACGATGATTTCTTGAGTATATTGCCTAGGCACCCGTTCAAACGGGTCGCTTAAAAGGATGCGCCTCCGTATTTAGCACCCACTCATCTAAGCTGATCAGGTTGGGATCTGAGTATCTACAGAGTTCGTTAGTAAACCGCCTCGAAAAATATCTCGAGTTGGTGTGAGACGACTTACAGCAGGTAGAAATATTTCAGCGTTTCAGCCAACCAGAAACTCTCCATCTCGTCTGTTTTGACGGGATTCTCCAACAAGACATTATCGATGGCACTGTTACCAGCCTCTGTCCGAGTTTGGCCAACAATGGCATTGAACATCTTCCATCCCTTCTCCTGCCAGGAACTGTCGCCCGTGATGCGGTACATGTACCAAACGGACTCGATGGCTTCCGGTCTGCGAAAAGAGGGTTAGTAGGGCTTCGGGACTTATAGCACGGTGCAGCTATGTTTTCACTATTATATACGATGTTCACTTACCGGAGGATATATGCGTGGTAATTGGCACTGACAAAACCAGGTGGGAGGTTATCCGATTCAATACGGTTCTTTGCGTACTCCTTAGAGGATAGCGGGCGTATTGGCTCTGGAACTTCGCTGTCATCTTCTTCCGGCTGGAGAGGAGTTTGAAAGCCTTCGCTACTTGTGTCATCCGCCGAACCGCGTATTGGTGGAGGGGGTGCTCTCTTATGAATTCCAACACTCCCCGATTCATCCGTCCCTTCAGCCACCGTACCGAGATTCGGATGCCCCTTCATCGTCGCCTTTTCCGTCTTCTGCAACTTTTTGGCCTTTCGCTCTTTTTGTTCCTTTTCAAATTTTATAACCTCTTCGTCATGCGTCTCGTGAAGAGGGTCCAACCATTGCCAGTAGAGAGTCTCGTTCCAATGGCAGTTGTTCGCCTCGGCACACGGGACAACGGTGGATCCTTCGGGCATGATACCGCTCGGTGTACTTTCGTAAGCCCATACGCAGCCGTCGGTTAGCTTCTTTCCTATCTCTACGTCTTCCGGCACTTTGAAGATCTTCCCGCCCAAACCGAACATTCCTCCGAGGAAGCAGGTGAGATGGGTGACTTCCCACTCGGTTGAGGCATCGGTCTCTGGGTTCCCTCGGGTGTTGATCTTAGCAGAGAATAGGATGTCACGATCATCAGGAACCATGGGCCTGAATAGTAGCCATTTCTTGACGGCTGCGGCAACCTTGGTATGCAAGGTCTCGTACTTAGGCTCGAGACCGCCAAGGAGCAACCACTGCTTGGGAAAATATTCATACGTGCTGTCTTGACTTCCGCCCATGCTGTATTGCTGGTTGGAATAGAACGACCCGGAAGTGAGCCCCTGAGGAATACATTTACCCTTTTCCTTGGGCTCTTCCGAGTCGTTCACATGACCCCGCGATACGGTACTACTTTTTCCCCTATCGCTTTTGGGAGAAGCTGTCTTCTCCGACGGCGCGTATATCTCCTCGCCATTTGTTACGATCTTCACTGATTTGGTACCATCGTCGTTAGGCGTTCCCACTTGAGAGCGGCTTTCTAAGGCATGAAACTCGCCCTTACCGGATTTGCTTTGGCTACCGTCCACTTCGACAGCCTTACTCTTAGCAGTATCGGAGCTAGACTTCTGGAGCGCAATCTGCCGCTGCTCTTCCTCTTCGGCCTCCTGGGCGGCGACTATAGCTTCTGCGGTTCTATTACAGCCGCTGGCATCTATATGCTCTGGAAAGATACCAGGAATTGCGGTTCCTCGCTCCTGCCATTCGTAGAAGGCATCTGTGATGCGTGCTACAGCATCATAGTACTTGTTCTCCTTCGTGATCTGCGCCAGGCGAGTAAACTCCATGGCGAGAGAGCCTAGTTCAGCAACGCTCGCTCCCTGGGCCCTCTTAGGAAGCGACACGGATGATGGTTTCCAGTTGTAATACAGAATAGGCATGCGGTTCGGCGTATCGAAGACGCCCATGAGGATCTCGGCGAGCTCGAGCGCCTTCTCGAGAAGAATATCGTATCTTCCAGCTCTACCGCCACTGACATCGTACGCTGCGATTAGCCCGCCAAGATATCGAATGGTTGTTTCGAAAACAGGAATTTCGGAGCGATGTTCGGATGTGGTAAAGTCGATCTTCTCGACTTCGAGAAGAGCCTCTTCAAACTCCTTCTTCATGCCCATAATCCATAACGTGTCTAGCGCGTCGACCAAAGTTGCGGCCCAGCCACAGAACGGATCGCGAAACTTCTTAGATACGGGACTCAATTCGTCATGCCCTTTAGCGTAGGTCATATAACCATTCCAGCCGCGCACCATCTCTGCCTTTACCTTAGCGAGACGCTCTAGACGCTTCTCCCGAACTTGGGGCAACTCCGTATCGAAATCGTATTGGACCGCGGGGATAGGCTTGGGCTTCCCGGTTGGTAGAGGGATTATTTCGTCTTCGGGGACGGGGAAATGCTCAGGGAACTTCTTCCAGTGCTTAGTTGGTTCGCCCTCCGGTTTGGATTTATGCGTGCCCGGTTTTCCGTGGACGCCTTTACCCTTGGCACCTTGACCAACGTTCTTATCTGGTATATCGATCAACGGGACGGTAGTGGTCTTCGCAGCACCATCTTTATCATATACGACTACTTTGGTCCTGCCGGCATCCGTCGTCGCGGTCTCCGTAGAAGGATCGAATTTGCTGAGAACATCTTCGCTGATGGTGGGTTTTAAGCTAGGGATCTTAACCTCGTTGGTATCCTCGCCCGTCTTCTCCCGTCCTTGACGTGTTGAGTCACTATCACCATCCGACAATCTGGTCCCGCTCTTACCAGGGAGAGGTTGCTGAGATTGCTTGTTGGTTGTGCCGAAGCCTTGTTCGGGGGACGACTTGGCCGGCGGAGCTTTATAGGGAATAGACGCCGAGACCGACTCCCACTGATCGCTATTCTGGGAAACACGGTATAGCAAGAATACGATAATGGCAGCAAAGAAGACATAGTAACGGTATCTCCGTAGGCGGAACATCTCCACGGTTGCAGTCGGTATACAGAAGCAGTTGGGAGGCGGGGCAAGGATAGACGAAAGGCCCTCGAGCCTTCAAGCCAACGCCTTGATCGCGCAAAGTCGGAGAATAGCGAGGAAGGGCGCAAAGACGACGAGCATCAACCTAAAATCAATTCTATCATTTTCGTCCGAAAACTATATAAGAATCGCTAAAGAAGATCAAGCAGATCTAGAGCTATTACGGCGTGATCTTAAGCAGACGAGCTATGTGGGATACGAACTCCAATAGGCCGAGGCTAAACAAGCGACGCAAATTCAACGATTCGATCTATCTTAGGACTAGCAATAACTAACAAGAATGACAACGAGAACGAGAACGAGAATGGGAATGCAGAAAAAAAGACACACACAAAAGTTCGCCAAGGACGATAGAGGGATGGACAAATGAATGAATGTATGAAACGAATTAGAAGGACAGATGATCAGGCAGAACGACCACAACTTAGCAATTGCCGTGCCGCAGGGCGGATGAAGTGAAGTGCTACATACTGTAATGGAAGTGCCAAGGGCCCAGGGGTCCAGATGGTACGGATCCGTACAGCTGAGCGGATAAGGCCACAGAGAGACTTGGCATCTTCCTTCATTGGATCTCCTAGGTGAGCCAAGAAAGCCATCATGTCGTCGGAGGCTTATGCTTGGCGTCCATCCGACCCAAGAAACCCACTATAACGACGGTTGGAACACGGGAAAATAGAACCTGACAAATAGAGAAGGTTTTTGATGAGATATGCAAAAGTTTACCGCAAGATGGGATATGAGTTGGGACATGTGGCGGCAGGACGGTCAAGGCAGATGATGTTGTTGAGTCTGTGAAAAGTGAAATTTAGTAAGGACTATTAAGATTAAGACGTTGAAAAGAAATATTTTTGGAAAGAAAGATCTAATTGGACTAACTGAAGGATTTAGAGTAAGCACGTAAGAGACTACTGCATGTACATAGGCAGCGACGATGGTCTAGCACTGTAAGGCTGCTGTGTACGAAATACATAGAGGTACTTCATACAACTTTGGTAATACAAAGTTCAGCGGCGTCTCTCGTCCCGCAGCCCCGCCCGCTTTAAATACGAACATATGTAGGTACCTAGGTACCTAAGCAATCCGGAACCCTAGGTCGTATTCTCCGCCGTACCTAGCTGTGTAAGTCTACCTACCTATGTATGTAACCTAGTGAGTCTAGACCTTGACATCTTCCTTCAGTTCGTAATCAGGCTGTGGTAACAAATCACCACAATGGAGATAAAAAAACATATATCATCAAATCACCGAATATCATTACCAATCTAAACCTCTACGACCTAGATATTCTTCAAATTCCCATACACAAAATCATCGTGGCTGAATACCGTACTCGCAAATTGGCGATCTTTGTGGGGTGCATTGGACCCTTGATCAATGGGTGATAACCCCCTGGCCGAATCACTGCGCGACATGCTCGTAACGTTCCCCTAGCGCTCTAAGTTGACGGTTGCCGAGCGCATCATATCCATCGTCAATATCTATTCTAGCTTCGTCATAAAAGTCTCACTGCTTTTTCGATCGCAACATAGGCGTGCAAGGCGGCGGCCCGCCGTATCGTACCTCGATGTCTTGCGCCTTGAAACCGCACCGTTCACAGATGCCCATGCCGCGTATCCCGGCGTCGAGATAGCAAGGAATGTCGAGGCTATCAGCTAGCTTCGTCGCCCATCCCATAAGCGCTGATGCATAACCTCTTCCTCGACTATTAGACTTCGTCATGACGAGCTCGATGACTGCGAGGGTTAGGTTTGCCACTTTTAGACGTTTTAACTCGGTGGCAACTTACAGACATGGCCCTCCTTTCCTACGACCAGATAATGGGCTTTCGCTAGAGGCTCGAAGAATTCTGCGAGTTTCTCTTCGTTCATCCCTGGTATGTCCTCGCATCGCGACCATCGTGTCTTCCACGAGTTGCCGGTAATATTTTGACCTGGACGGACGATGTGGGCGATTGCCAGCGCAACCGGCCTACCTATACTTCTTTTAGTGACTGGTATTTTAATCATAAAGGAGGATGGTATGTAAGATGATATCCATACTGTTAAGATTTCTGACGACTGCAATCTTTGATTCAGGTCTGTAGTAAGACTTCTGACCCAGGAAGTTATCAAAACTTCGCTGAAGCCACTTTCGTCCTGCCTCGGTATGGGGAAACACAACCTCGCCCGGCCCGCTAAAGGCTTCCCAGAACATCTCCATGAGATCAGGGATATCATCCGTGTTCGCAAGACTTACTTTACCCGCCATCTCGTATTGGGCCTTTGATTATCGGTAACAAGGAGATAGATAGAAATGCACTCAGATAAATAGATATGTCCATAGAAATGTCGATCTAAGAGTGGACAACACCTCGTTAATTTATCTTAGATCGTATTGACACTTTTAACTTTATAGAAATCTAGCTTCCCGACTTGTTACGTTGTCAACTTTAACTCTGTCCATGATAACATTTGACAGTCCCGTCCGATATAGCTTTAAACTTGCCTTCCCCGCTAGCACCTTGAATGACAGGTCGTCATTGTGATTCATAGACCAGCTCTCACCGAGCTCCGAGTACGAAGCCAATTCGTCAGCACTTGTCGAAGATATCCTTTACATGACCCTTATTACGAGTATCTTTTCTAAGCCGAGCCAATGATGAATTACTATCTGCAAAGATCACTGAACTTTCTCGGTCCACGCTCGTAGTTCTTTATTAGTCGGCTATCACTCGGCCTTCGCGAGACACGTTATGTTTTCTCTCAAAAAACAAGTCTATGAACAGCACTCGCAAGCTGCCTTACGAATAGGTGGCCTGATATGAAAACCTTGCGAAAGTAGAAGCGTACTGATGATGTATCATATTAGTTTTCGAACCGGGTCTCACGACCGCTCTCTATCTGATATAGCTACATGTAGTAGTTTATGCTAACAAGTACTCGGGAGACATCAAGTCGACCCATCCAAGATTTGGTTCCGATTGCTTCCAGCCTAACCTATCACGTACCAATTGTGAGTAAGTCTTCAATTCTTCTATAGGGTAGCTAAGGAAGGGAATTTCCTTTCCAAGTTGGTTAGCAAGCGTCGTCGTCTACGGGATAGTAAACAAAGGGGGTACAATACCTCTTGACGATGTACGCCGCTACACATGAAGAATATATGCACGGTACGGTTCCCGGACGGCAGCGAATAGTGCCCGGCGCCATGGTAGAGGCTCCCGAGCATGATAAAGGCATCTGTTCTTTTCAATTCGGCGTCGATGACACCTGCATCCCCATTGGGGCCAAAATCAGGCTTTTCATCACCCCAAAGGTGCGACCCAGGCACAATTCTTGTTGCGCCGTTTGCCTTGGATGTGTCGCAGCCTGGTACAAATAGCCCTATTAACATATCTCGGCCATGGGTGTACTTATCGGTCTTTGCGTGTCTCGCGTGGTGATTTTTGTCGTCTCGGTGTAGACGTTGAGCTTTGCACCCGGGCCGAGAATCCATTGTAATTGAAATGGAGAGGAGAGGGTGAGACTTATTAACTTGTGGTTCATCCCCATACCAAGTCGTTGACTCGATGCCGATAAAGTGCTCTGCGAGTTCCTAGTTTCCGAAGTTATTAGTCTATACATGCTGGCTCAAATGGATCAGAAATGGACTTGAGAAGTCTCTGGGCAAGAATCTTCACAATCAACGGCTTGGCCACATTACTCCAAATTATCTTACTTGAAGAACCGAAATCTATGATTCTTGAAGCAGAAAAATCCCGGCCCTACTGTTGGATATACTGACGAAGAGGTGCATCTAATACCTGGTACAAGGGATCGGAGAAGAACTTCTCACGAGCCGTCTTACTTCTGCCAATTAGGCGGGTGCATGTTGCGGTGCCTCCGTTCAACGCCCCAACTGTGCTTCCGCTAGCTGAAATGGAAGCATCTAGGTAGGGCTGCACTTCTTCCTGCGCATCGGCCAGCGCCTCGAGGGTGGTAAAGTCCTCGACGATAACACAGCCATCCTTCTCCACAGCATTAATGAAGGCCTGTAGGTTGGCTTCTCGGGGAATACGCTGAACCATGATAAATTCTGTCCAGCTTTTGATACAGATGGACAACCCTTATTATGTATTGCTTTGTCGGGCTACCCTAAGTGCTCAATAACTACTCGTACTGGACTATAAGAGTTATAATGTGGTTTCTTAACCATTATCTCTATTATCGCCGACATCGACCAGGATTCCCCTCCCCCACTGAAGGAATAATGGGGACCGTTAACATCAATTCTTGATAAAACTTCCCGATTAAGGCATCTTGAGATACGGGGGATACCGTCGTGATTTGTTCGGCTTAACTCGGCTATTCACTACCTCTCCAGTTCCCGAATTGTTCATAAGATAACTTTACATAGGAATCAGATGAAACATGGAAACGATTTCCGTCATGAGATGGAGCAAGAAGCAAGGAATCAACTTTGTTATCTCGCGAGGAGGAACTCTAAGCTAGCTACGGGAGCCCGCGGCTATACATTAGGTAGGTACATATTGAAGCATCTTTTGTTCTAGACGTCTCATCTAGAATACAGGTCACTAGGATCTTCAATGCTATTTGGTGGAGATATTATTTGAAAAAATTAATAAATATTATATTACTTTATTTATATAGTAAAATACAAACCTATTCGAATATTCTAGCTTAGTCTTTATTTAAATAAGTAATTTTAGGTAGTAAAAGTTACTTAAACATTACAAGATATATTTACAATTATATTTTGTTATAATATTTCGAGTGATCTGATACTTCTCTCTTTTAAGTAGCATTAGTAAATAATCTTATATACATAGATATCCTAGCAACCTGTAGATCCCGACAACGTGCTTACGATCGGTACCCCTTTTAGTCAGCGAGACCTCAAGTGACCTGACCGCCCTGGGCACGAACGATCATAACTCCATAGGCCGTTTGTAGGTATTACCATGAATTGCAATTTACAATTGGCTCTGCGTTAAGGAGGCGCATATGCGCATGTCACGTCTCCTACGGTCTAGCCAATAAACCGTTTGATTCTAATATGACATGTCCCCTGCATGAGATGAAAATAATTAAAATATTTTGAAAACAGGGCTTACGCGCCTTGTACTTGCAACCAGAAAACCAGGACGAACAGATACCCTTCGGCCATAACTACCTATATAGCAAATGGAACATCATACAAGTCGCTAGGATGTCCAAGACTATTTAGTGGAGATGTTATTTAAAGGAGAGAAATATTAAGACATTTGAAATATTATGGTAAAATATAATTGTAAATATATTTCGTAATATTTAGGTAACTTTTATTACTTAAAATTACCTATTTAAATAAAGATTAAGCTAGAATATTCGAATAGGTTTGTATTTTACTATATAAATAAAGTAATATAATATGTATTAATTTTTTCAAGTAATATCTCCACCAAATAGCATTGAAGATCCTAGTAACCTATATAGAATAATTTAACCTAACCCCGGATATACTGTTACTTGACTACATACCTACATCAACAACCTCGTATTACCAACTCAAGACGTGATCATTACACTATCCAGAATGGCAAAGCGGAAGTCCCACAAGCCCAAAGAAGACACGAAGACCTCCTTCATGTTTCCATCGCTCCATCAACGAGTCTTAGATGCAATCTCTGACCAAGCTGTCTCGGCGCGGTTCGACGAAAAGACTACTAACCAGTCTAACAACAAATACTCGACTAACATCACGGGCAAATTTAAATGCAGCAACAAGGACTGTTCTAAGGGTGGCTGGAGCAGTAAGAAAGTCTCTATACTGATTAGGGGTTATCCCGGGAACGGGTATAATGCGCTTGTATTCAACCAACGCTGCCAGTCCTGCAACAAGCTCGGGATCCTGACACTTGACGAGAACTCGTATGTTGAACGAGTCGCATACAGGCTCAAGAAGTGGGCAGGCGTTCGGACAGAGGAGCAGCCCTACGAACAGAACGCGGGCCCACCTCACAAAAGCGAACTCTGCGAAGGTTGTAAGCAAGGTTATTGCCAGAAGAGGAACTACTGGGAGGATTAACTGGTGCGAGGCAGAAGTTGAGGGAGAAGGATTTAAGCAATTTTAGGGCATATGTTTCTGTGAGAACAGCTTAGATTGATTGCCTGAGATTTAGGATGGATAATATGGACATTTACTAGTTTGTTATCAAACCCAGATCGTCATTATCAACAAACGTCTAGTTGAAAAGTCAATTAATGTAGTGCTTTTCTGATACTGACAGAGTAAGCACTCCAGGAAGCGTGGCAAACCTCTCCACGTCATGGTATTCGTAACCTCTAAAGCAGTCTCGTACTTGGGTTTTCTTAATTTCCAGGTAACGATAATCAAGGGTGATCCAGTGTAATAGAGTGCACAATTGAGGGTTCGTCGGGGATCCCTCACTATAGTTTCAACGAATGACCATAGTCTTAGATTGACAACTGGAGAATCAAAAGATTAATCAGGTATCTATATACATCCTCCCAGCTTAGGCATATCTGCTATTACTTACCGCGTCCCATTGTAAGGCTTAGCCAACTCCTAGCAGGGTTGTACGAATAAATGCGAATTCGTACAAGCTTCGTATCTCGTACTTCGCACAATACTCGTAAACCATCGTAAATTGCGAAGCATTACAATGTCTAGTCTCCTATTGGTTACCTGCTGCTTTGTTGTTATTATAGAATGGCATCTCTTTGTAGTATCCGAATCTATGATGATGATGATGATCGTCCAAGCAGTTGGTCTAATTATGTAGTTGCTGCCTAAGATTCATTCTAGGCCAAGAGGTAATTCTTGCTGACTTAAATACTTTGTCTCTTCTCTGTAAAAAAAAAAATATGCATCATCATCATCATCATCATCATCATCATCCTGAACACAATTCGGATTTCTTGTATTAATCAATTATAAATACTGCATCGAAACTATGAGACTTATTTCTCTTCCAGCTACCCTTAGTATTGCATTGGCAGCTGCTATTGAACCTCCAGAGGGTCATCCGTGGCTAGCCCCAGGGCCGAATGACTGTATAGTAAAATATATATAAAACTTCAGATTTTCAGTTGCTAATACCTACTATTGATAGACCGCGTGCCGTGCCCAATGCTTAATACACTGAGCAATCACCAGTTTTTGCCTCGCGATGGTCGGAATATCACGAAAGACAAAGTCGTTAGTGCCATGTCCTCGGCTCTCAACTTCAACGAATCTCTCGGCGCGCTGATGTTCGACATGGCAATTGTAGCCAATCCAGAGCCCAATGCCACATTTTTTACTCTGTAAGAAAACCAGGACCCCCTTACCACCAAAGGAATATCAATCTGTTGATATCGAGTCATATTCTCCGAATCTATACTCTCGTCAAATATAGATCCACTAACATTCACCTGCTTCTAGGTACCAATTAAACCGTCATAATGTCCTCGAGCATGACTCGAGTTTGAGGTGAGATCATTATTTAGATCATGATCTCCTGAAAAATGTGGTATTAATTGTATCCCACAGCCGCTCAGACACCTTCTTCGGCAACAACCATGTCTTCAACGAATCCATTTTCAACGAGACGAAAGCATACTGGACCGGCGAGATCCTTGATGCGAACATGCTAGCAAATAGCAAGGTTGCCCGTCAGCTCAGCTCCAAAGCCTTCAACCCCAATTACACATTCACGTCCACCATCGAAGGCTTTAGCCTTGGTGAGGTTTCTGCCCCAATTGTTGCATTCGGCGACTTACAAGCGGCAACTGTCAATCGAACTCTTGTGGAATATTTCTTTAGTAAGTTTATCTATACATGTATTCGTGCTTGAGTTAACATTGCGTAAAGGGAATGAACGTTTACCTACCGAGTTGGGATGGAGTACACGGACTGAAATTATTAACATAGATATTATTTCAAGATTAACACAGATCATCAGCAACGCCTCAAGTCTTATTACAACCTCTGAGGCCGTCGTTTCATCTCCACGACGAGATCTACATGCTGGAATCTACTAGTAACAATCAGCGAGTTCCACCAGTCAAATAAAAGTTTGACTTGACTTGGCTTGGATACCTAGAACCTTTTTCTTTTTCTTGTTTTTTTTTTGGCGGGGGGTGGGGATATTTATCCGTGTCAACCACGGGATTATTTTATTTTTTTATTTGAGGTTTCTAATATGGGTGAGGATGTTAGGTGAAATATATCGGTGGCTGATGTGACTAGGTACGGCTTTATAAAGGAGATATATGTGTATAGGTTAGGTCGACGATACGGCCATGTAAGCCTCAAATTTAAAACACTTAATTTGATTTGTATCGAGTCGAATATATACGATTATTTGACTTGATCTGGCTCGTAAAACTCACCGGTAATAATCGAAATCTGGTAGATATGGTGTGAGTTGTAGTTCCGGAGAGTATTATGATGAATGTTTATTATTGGACATACTTTGTAATTTAATTTTTCAATCGGTATTGAACAGTATATTGAGACATTATAATAGAACCCTGAGTTCCGCGAGTATAACGAATATTAGTAATACGTACTGCTAATGTTAAACTTCATAATTTGGTTAGTGTGAAGTGGATGACGTTGAATCATCCCCTTTGCTGACCAATGACTTCGGGGTTTGTTGCTGATAAATATCCCAAGTTTAAGAAGCAACTTTAGAAGCCATTAAATCTAAAATAGTCTACACACTGGAGTTGTGATAATATGCGATCTGGATAAACACGCATGCGTCGCTTAATCAATATTTGACCTTTACTTGCCAACTTGGTCATCTTGAAATCTGCCATATTATTTTATTTCTAGAATGGACCTAAATGGTGCTGCTTCTCCTAACCAGGGTCGGGACAAGACAAATCGCAGACTATACAAAAGCTGTGACCATTGTTGAAAAGGCCGATGCGCCTACAATGCCGCCTAGCTGGGCATTAAACCACTGCCTAAGCTTCATTTCTTTCGCATTCATCACACTGCACGACTCCACTCGACATATCGTTCCTGACCATTATGGTCCGAAGAGAGTAAGAGGGCAAAATATTCTTTTGCCTGCTCTGTTAATTCCTGACTGATCCGCATCGGCCATCTCTCAATTATCGTGTGCGTATCTTTCATCCGTAGCCCAGAGCGAAGCGCCGCAGAGTTAAATGCATATATCATCGTATACCTATGATATTCAAGGTAAGGAATCAAAGCAGACAAGGTTAGGATGTAATTTGGTACATACATATTGAAGTTCCCCTCCATGTCTTGAACTAGATTCATTGCCATCATAATCTTGATCATGCTCGTGGTCGTGGGCTGTAGAAGTTCAGGCATGTATCGAAAAACTTTATCCATCTGCTCTGTCATGTTATCCGGCGGAAACATTGTTTTCTCTTTGATCATAATCATCTCTGGAACGGCGTTTAAGAATAGCGTGATGAGAGTCGCATGTCGGTTGATATTTGTAGGCTGAAGCAATGGACCAAACGTCTTTAAAGTTTCGTCAATGCCAAGAAAACATACATCCGCAATATTGCTCACCTAGGTAAATGGTCAGCTCCTAAAAGATATATCAGCCAGAGAAACCACTTACATCGATGCGATCAAATTTCTTCTCATCTAGTTGTAGAGATCTTGCATCGACTTGTAAAAGCTCAAACCTTACAGGAAAAGCCCGCAGTCGGTGATGGAACTCTACAAATAGCTGCCTGAGGTAATGATAGAGCTTGCCGTATATGTCGCTCTTCGTTGGCCCAATATTGAACTCGAGGAAGGATTTGAGCGGCCAACCGGATGTCGGGTCCAAACTATCCATTATTGGCCATGTGAAATGAAACAAGGTTCTGAGAAAGATTGTTAGATATGGATATTGAAATTTGCATTGAAGTGAAATACTAACGGATTTGGTACTGTAAACTCTTCACGACTATGACTGAACGGTAACAATATGCCGTCAACACGAAACTTGAACATGCCGAGCCTCTGAGCCGGAGTTTTCAGATCCATAGCTCGATGAACATAGTCAACTCTCTCGGGAGCCAACATAACTGCTTGTCGAACGCGTTGGGCGGTGTCTTTGGTCAAACCCTCAGGAACATCAAAGTATGATAGGAAAGAGAACCATTTATCTCGAGATAGTACTAGTCGCAGAGAAGCGTTGCCAAATGACCATGTCTTGGCTAAAAGCGACGAGGCAGGCTTATGTATGATCTTGTCGCATACATTCTTCACAATTGGCCGGAGTCTGTTCTGTAGGAAGCTTTGACAGCGTTCTGTGATCAAAGCTGAATACCAAATGTGAAGGACATATTCTGCAGCAATGACCGGATCATCCTCAACAAGAAAGGTCAACAGAAATATAGCATTTCGAGCTACTATATCCATTTCCTTGTCGTTCAATACTATACCGAGCGGCCCATTATGAGAATGAAGATTGACAAGAGAGAGGATAACATTTCTCATATCCCCCGAAGCTAGATATAACCTTTTGTTAGTGGCACTTTACACCCAAGGAATATTCCATACCTGGAAAAAGGAGGTTCAATGGATTCTTAAAATCGACCCCTTCATTATCTTTCAGCTGGATAACATCAATGGCTGGGACGTTACCCCAGAGGTATTTATTTGGCCCGTAGGATTCGTGTGTGTGACTGCTACCCATGAATGCGGGTACTCGGTTTTCTTCTACCCACGAAGGTTGCCAGTTATTTATGGATTTGCAATCCTCGCGATGAATAGGCCAATGGGCAACCTGGCAGCGCTTGCTGCAATACTATTTACATTTAGAAAAATCAGGATCAGTACTATATTGCTTCAAATATTGCCATAGGTGAAGTGTTAAAGAAGACTTACAGGGACTAAGAGACATTTTTTACATGCTAGCGAGCCAGGGCTTTTGCAGGGCATGGCAGCATCTTGGTTGTTCGCACACAACATCGTGGTATCGAAGCTCTCTGGTGGTGTAGATTTGTTGTGTTGGGCTTCGTATCTGGATGGAATCTTTCACATTTATGTTCTTTTCTGGATGTATGGAGTCTAGTAGAGGGTTATTTCGTGCTTTGAGGTGTTTGTTGAAAGATACTTTCATAGGCTATAACTCGTTTGTGTAATATCTTGAGGCAGCAGTGGAAGGCGAGAGATCTAGAACATATCACTGTGTTAGGGCTGCTGCATCTTTTCCTACATAAAGGATACGGTAGGTAAGTATTTCTTTGAAGTCGGTGTGTGTGTTTATGAATACCATATTGAAAATTCTTCCAAGTCAAACCACCCTTACTGGGGCCCCCACTAGGGTGGCCCCAGTAAGGGTGTTTTGACTTACGTGGTAGAATTTTTACTGACTGGTCATATGTCAAGACGTATGAGAGTTTGGTGTTCTACGAGTTGTACATTGGTCATATTAAGTACCTCCTAACATAGGTACCTACCTAGGTACCTAAGGTTAGGTATATGTTCTTGCGGTCATGATGTTGCAATTTTGTACCTGTCAACTGCTGGTCTGCTATATGCTTATTCTAATCCTATTTGAACACTAACTTAAACTACTTGTTATCATGGAAAAATACTGAACCTTAGTATGTCTTACGTGTATATCAGCATTATAAGATACACCTATTGAACAGGAGTTGGTATCTCCTGCAGAGTATGGCATATCACTTCAACGTCTAGATCCTCGTGAAAGGCCCTAAACAGTTGATGATAGCACTATACTCTGGAAGAACTGTAAAGATCTACTAATCGGATAGGATATATAAGATAAATACGAAAAATAGGGCTATAAGCTATAAATATGGAAAAGTAACGAATGTGTCTATATTAAATGCATAACTGAATGATGATGATCGTGGCTATCTGATCAGAAGAATACGACGAATATTAGACCTTTATATGGCCTGTGACCTAAGATTACATAATAATACCCTTGCTCTTGGCGATGTGGCACCACACCAGTTCACTATCCGTATGATATATCACATCTACAGCGACAGGTAGTATGCTTTCTTCCGGGCACCATTCCCGCCACCTCAGCAACATTAGTCTCCGTATCCTGGCAAACACTCACTTCATCCTATTCGGATAAGTAAATTATTCGGATATCTTGATAACCACCTTGCCAAACTGCCTATGGTTCCACTGTTGGTAAATTTCGTTAGTATCTTGGCAGCCGGGTCAAGGGGTTTAGATAATTCTTCACATACCACATAGTCATATGCTTCTCTAGCACTTTCAAGGTTGAAGACTCTCTCATCAATCACGGGATGAATATTATTGGCTTCGATAGCCCTTACCATCTCCTCCATTTGTTGTCTCGAACCTACATGAACGCCGCGTGCTGTGCAGCCGCGGAATAGGAGCTCCATCGTAAGTTGAGGTTTTTTGCCGCCGAGGAAGCCGATCAAGTTAATAATACCTCCAAGCCTTTTGTACTCTCAGTTAGCTGGATATATATTTAGCTACCCGGTAGGTAGATAGGGTCTGTTGTCCTTTACCTGACTGCATCGATACTGTGGTGGAGAGACTCACTGCCTGCCACATCTATTACGAAGTCGACACCACTCCGCCCGTTCGTTAAGCTCTTAGCGGTCTTGCCCCAGTTGGCGTCTTCTTTATAATTGATTGTATGGTGAGCCCCCAACTCTTTCAGTGCCTGCTCTTTCTCCTTCGTAGATGTGGTAGCTATGATCGTAGCCCCCGCAGCCCTTGCAAACTGTGGAGTCGTGTAAGAAGCAATTCCCTTTATGATTATACTGAATACGTACCTGAAGTGCAAAGATACTAACTCCGCCTGTACCCTGAATGAGAACAGAATCGCCTGGTTTCAATGGTTTTAATCCGTACAATGCATTCCATGCAGTCAAGGCGGCACATGCTTTTTCGAGGATAGTTAATAAAAGGCAGTCGGTGTTGATTTAACTACTTACATAGGGTGCTAAGCAACAAGTCAGTCAGTTAACCAAGAATGATCGGAGCTAGAATGAAATTTGCTAACCTTGACTCGCTCAGATCGAGATTATTGGGAGTTATAACCAAACCGTTTTCGTTATAGACGCCAAATTGTCTAAGCGTTCCGTCTTCCACCTTTTCGTTAGTTTATGGGGGTTGGAGTAAGGGTGGGGGGATGAACAAACCAAGGAAACCACCCAGAGACGTTGGGATGGTGGAAGAGTCTATATCTCCATAAAGATGGCCTTGATGAAATAGCGTCGCTACCTTGTCTCCTATTTGAAACTTGGTCACTTTAGAGCCAATCTCTATGACTTCACCTGCGCCGTCCGAACCAGGGCAAAATGGGAATCGTAATGGGCTGGGGTATTCGTTCTTCGCTATGGCTACATCTCGATAATTCAGAGATGCAGCATGCAGTTTGACGAGGACCTCATTCTCTCCGACCTTTGGGACAGGTACTTCAAGGAACTCTAACCCTTCGAACCCTCTCTCCTGCCCTCTAATAAACCACTGCTTCATAGTTGAGGGTACCATATTTGACAATAGAATAGAGGTATTTTGAGCTATTCAAACTCTTCTGTAGGTGCTGGAGGCAACTTGACCAACTCATCTTGGCGGCCAAACGTCTATAATATACACAAGAGTGCACTATTCACGTATATCTTTAGGCCGGGGTTCGGATGCCGAAGGCCGGGATGATTACCCGAAGCTACCTGAGTTATAGGTGTGTGAAAAGTATTAATTCTAGTTTTATGGGTAAGTTTTGCGAAATGATCTGGATCGCATGAATTGATGGCAATGGTTATTACCATCTCTACTCCGTTGGGGTTAAAGAGGGACTCGGCTCGGCGGGCGAGTCCCGACGAGGTCCACCAACACCTGTCCGATACTCCTATAACAAAATGTGTCGTTATTGCAATAAACCCCGCAAATAATCAACCCCGTTAAAGTATTAAAGTGTTACGCTATGGCTTCACTCGGCTCAATCTGCCACCGCAAAGGATAAATGTGGCGGAAGACAACCTAGATAGACCGCATAAGAATTACCGTTAGGATTCATACGACGTTAATATAATCCTGTATATGAAGTGTGATTTAAACTTGGAGATATAGTAGAAACCACTAATTCCGACTAGTGTCATTGGCTTGTTTATGTTATGAGATGGCGATCGTGATGAAGGGGGGAGATAAGTTGATTGCCATTATCTCGAAAAGGGGGTATAAATAAAAACGGAGTCTCCCTGCATCGGCATGGTTCTACTAGTGTTAAGGATAGGTAGTAATATCAATGCTCACATCACATAAGAGATGAGGCTCATTTCGTCCTTGCTTGTGGTCTTGACCTTTGGGACGAAAAATGTAATAGGTCAATCGGAATATCAGTATGTTATTGCAGGTAGTGGAGCCGGAGGAGGGCCATTAGCAGTGGAAATCGCGAAGGCCGGTTACTCGGTACTTCTCTTAGAAGCCGGATCAGACCTCTCCGAAGATCCATTGTATCAAGATCCCGACAAAGCTACGGAGGCAATCAACGATCCAAGGACAAGATGGGATTTCTTCGTGAAACACTCTGATGATTCTGAGAGGGAATTGAAATATGAGCATACGACCTGGCGTACCACCAACGGCTCTTTATATGTTGGATTAGATCCTCCTAGAGGATCGGAACCCCTAGGCATCTTCTACCCAAGAGCAGCAACTCTGGGTGGATGTGCATTGCAGAACGCCGCCATTCTCCAAATGCCGAGTGACGATAATTGGAATTATATAGCTAATATCACCGGCGATGATTCGTGGAAGGCTTCTGAAATGAGAAAGATTTATGAAGAGATCGAGAATTGTAATTACTTACCGAAAGGTTCGACCGGCCATGGATTTTCAGGTTGGCTTGAGACTAATCAAAATGATGGTTCCTGGTTGAACAATGCTACCGACGGGGCTACAGTCCTGAAAGCCATAGCGGAATTAACTAGTTCGGCAGGAAACAACACTGGATCCGAAATATCAAATGCTGAACTGAAAGAACTGTTGAATAGAGACATCAATGGAGTTGAGCCCAACCGCGACCAGATGACGGGCGTTTTCGCCATGGCTACTCATACTGATTCGGCTGGTCGGCGATTCAGTCCAGCGAACTATATTAAGAAGGCGTTGGAGGAGAATCCAGACCTCCCGCTAACAGTCCAGCTTAACGCATTTCTCACGAAGATATCATGGGACCAGCTACAGGGTCCTCCTGCTGTTATGTCGGTAGACTACGTCGTCGGTCCCAGCGCGTACAAAGCTGACCCTCGGTATGACCCGAGCCGGAACACCACCGCAGGCTTTAGCTGGGTCGGTAAAGAATTGATCATCTCCGCTGGGGCTTTTAATACTCCTCAAATTCTGAAACTTAGTGGCGTTGGTCCGGCGGAGGAACTCAACAAGCACAACATCACCGTGGTAGCAGACGTCCCGGCCATTGGCGAGAATCTTGGGGACAACTACGAGGGCGGTGTCTTGTCCCTCGCGTCAAGGCCGTTTGAGGGGTTTGGTAAACCCTATGCTGTGCAATTGAAAACGTCTGCTTCGGCGCGAAATCGTGACATATTTTTATGGTAAATTTACCTCAGAATCAACACAAACCATCTCCTGTAAGAGGTAGCTAACAATCCAACTTCATTAGGCCGATAAACTCTGCATTTGAGGGCTTCTGGCCCGGGTATCCCTCGAACCGTGGCCCAAGCGCGTTTACTCTTCCGTTTGTCCTTATGGACTCGCGTAGCTCAAATCGGGGCACGGTCACCCTACGCTCTACAGATCCATTTGAACAACCCGAGATAAACTTTCGATTCTTCGAAGGGGATAGCGACGAGGACTTGCAAGCTATGCTCGAGGCTGTTGAGTTTAGCCAGAAGATCAAAAGCTTGCTCGGGAGCTCCGGGCTGGCCCCTTTCGAAGAACTTCATCCTTGTACAAGTGAAGCTAAATGTACTGACCAAGATATTAAAGAGTATCTTAAGTTGCAGGCTTATTCACACCATGCGACTGGAACATGTGCAATTGGCAGTGTATTAGACTCGAGATTCCGCGTCAAGGGAGTAAACCGCCTTCGGGTGGTTGACGCATCAGTTTTTCCTAACCCCCCTGGCGCATTCCCTGTTCTCCCCACGTTCGTGATATCGAAGAAGGCAGCAAAGGTCATACTGGAGGATGCTGATGGGATGAATTAAATAGAAGGATCCATATTTATTAACAATTACTATTAAGTGTAAGATTGTATCACACGCCAAACATGCTCTTGGTTGTAAGTGACTACATGAATGTGCGTGCGTGTTACGTCGGCGGGTTAATGAGATGTTTACGCCCGGCTTAGTCCTTCTTGCCCGCCAGAACAGGGATTACAGGAGCACATTGGACACTGACCGAGTCGTTTCGAATGCCACCCCTAAAGACGTTTGGCGCTCGGCTACTATGTCTGTTTTTTTATAGTATCTCAACTTGGCAAGCCTGATGTTGTAAAATGTGCCAATCCTGGGCTGTCTCTGTAGTTGTCCTGAATGAGAAAAGGAAGCAGGGGTAACTCAGCTGGCATTTGGTAATACGCGGCGAACACTCAGAAATAGGCTAGGTACGTAACCATCCACCCCTATGATTCTCGCCACGCATCTCCCGCTATGAGATACATTGAGTACGGCCAGAAGTCTTCCAAATCCGCCGAGGGCACCACCGAGGCACCAAGTCTTTCTCTCTTGATCATCTTTTCCTACCCATCAAAGTGGGGTATTATAATCTTCATTGAATCAAAATCTAATTATCTATTCAACACACCCTACATTAGGACGTTCACAATACAATAATGACAAGACATTCATAGCACCTTAAGTGTTTTGCTATGTACCTATCAACTAAGAACTTGTGATGAGGGCGCTAGTGGTCCTGCCAAGTATGCTCCAGATAAGCCTTGGTTCAGCCGTGCATGATGCTCAAAGGCCTACCCAACATCTGCAACTACACCAAAACATCCAACCCAAGAGCGCATGCGGGTTCTGTGGCGAGGATACACTATGCCAGGAACTCAATAGGAGTTTAGATGGCCATTAGTTATGGTTCGAATTATGGGCCAAGACTATTGTATCAGTGGATTTTCCGAACATCGAACTAAGCATAAGAATCAGGGTTCAATCAACCATTATTTCCAACCTAGCATCAATGCAATATTCCCTTTAACTCTAGGTGATTTAGGGGAAACAAATACTCGCACTACGGATAACGTTGCCATCGTTCCTATGGCCCTCGGTTGTCAGAAAGAACCCTTGATGTAAGTTAGAAGCTGCTGCTTTGCTGTTGTATAGTAGTCGTGTATTAGAATAATTTTACTAACGCTTAGCCTTCTCTCTTTTTTCGAAGGCGCGCAGCGCCCCTTATGTATCTTTGCCATGTAAATCTACATCCGTTCTTGACTAACCTCACTTATACCTTGACATCAGTCGACTAACGATGGTAGACATAGATTAGGGTTAGGGTATCAGAAAGGAAATAGGGTACCCTGTAAGTCAAACAACTTAGTTGGAATATAAATATATCATCAAGTATCGTAATCCCCCGTACCCCTGCCCCTATTCCATCCTGTATAGATATCATCGGGAACTCTAATCCAATTACCTCCCATATTAGTATATCGAACAAGCTCAACGTGTCTCGTCACGTTTATACCGGGGCAATTGCTTTCAAGTTGTCTAGCCGAAACGTCAGCACTTATTTGCGGGCTAGTGCGAACATTGCTACCCTTGCTGTTGATATTGGTCGGTGGATCAATCGAAAACGGACTGAACATTGCCATCATGTGTCGGAATAATGGCCGATATGTCGGTATTGATGTAGCAAGAATGCCAGCCATAAGCTCAATGAGAGAAAGAAGGCTGACAAGGATGTTATCGTCTAAATTAAGCACTGTTAGTTGTATTCGTATAATAAATATCAATTACAAATCGAACTTGACTTACAGCTTGGATCAACAGTTGCATCAAAGGCCAAGCTAAACCCAAGACGGATAATAGAAACAATACAGGCGCTGCCACCCATGGCGAAAGTGAAAATCAATAGCCGCTTTTTCTGCTTCGATGTATGAAGTCTTAAAATCAATGGGATAGGTGCACATAGAATAATAATGAAATCGGTAATGATATTGACGATCCTGGTTAAGAGAACATATAATAACCCATAGTTTATGCAAGTGCCATTTCCAATAGTTAAATCCCAAGAAAAGGCGACGGGGCGATATTGAAATATATCGATAATCGAGGCTGTTAAATGGAAGGCAATCATCAGAACGGCAAAAATCCAAAGGCAGCAATGGAATCTCCATGATTGGAAGATACTTCCATACAACCTGAGGATACTGAGCTTTATGAAACCTAGCGATATGGTATACAGAACCTCATCGCACACTTTCCAAATATTAAGCATACGCGAGTCCGTAACGAATATAACATGGCGTCCGCCTCCATACTTGACTATTATCGCTATGCCAATAGTTAATGCTGCGGCGAAGCACTGCAAACGATTAGCTTGATGAAATAGAAGTAGTGAACTAAGTCGCTAGGTAAGCTGTCCTATTTACCCAAGCTATCAATAATAGCAGATCACTTTGCGTTGAGCGGAACTTGCGGCATACCAGGTACTGCGAACAGAGACGAAGTATGAAGACAGCAGATGCGAAACCGCAAACTGAACAAGCGACGATAATATTAGGTACCAAGCTGTCATCCTTGTGTGCTAGCATATAAGCTATTTGCTCCTGCGATGGCCGCGGTGTCATTTTTACATTCGAGTTGCACAGGATCGCCTGAGAGACTCGTGCTTTCGTGGAGGGACGTGAGAGAAAGTGTTGTTATGATATATGCGAGGCCTGAAATTTGATTAGAAGCCCTCCAATTCATAGTCGCTTCAGTGGTGAGTAAGGGAATAGTTATATATTAGAGAAAATTAATATGTGTGCTATGCCGCTAATACTGTTATACAACATGTAGTTATATGTCCCTCACCACCAACGTTTATATATTGAGAGTACATGGGCATCTAACTTATGCAGTAAGAAAACTGAGGATTATGTCACACACCATATGTAACGGTGCAGGGAGTGCTAAAGAAATTTAGTCAAGCTTTTCATATTCTCTCTTTTTATTGCTTTCAATTCAATTAACTACATTCTATAGATCCAGGCACCATATATGATTAAGAACACACAATACATGAGAGCAGATATATTTTCTTCACATCTTGTAAATAATAGCCCAATCTACCTTTTAAGCACCTCTGGGGCTGATAACCTGGGAATGGAAAGTATTAATATAGATTTGTCACGTGTCCAGAGATGTTATAGATATATCCATAACTCGAAAAGGGTTTCTTACATTTGGTACTTGAGTTAACATGAATTTATATTATGAATATAGAGTCTAAGAATACATGTACTGTCACGTCGTGGGGAGCGCTAGTGCGCTCTCCACGCCTAGTAATCAACTGAGCGCATATATATGCGATCATCCCGAGCTCGTTACACTCGCTTTTTTTTTCTTCCTGAACCCAATATATTCATATTAGATCTAGGCACCACATGACTACCTAAAGTACTCTTGTATGTGATATGTACCTTATCTCCGCCTTGATCCAAAACCTCGTCGACCAAGCAAAATCAATAGATCGACAAGCAAGAAAGTAACGATAACACCAGCAATAATACCAACGACTGCCCCAGTGTCAAGATAAGTACCCTTTGCTAATACGGGTTCTTGACGCTTGTTATCCTGAGAATTAGTAGTGATGCGATTTTTAACTAGTAATGGTAGAGCTAAGACCCCTGCATCAGAAGCCAGAATCAGGCATAATAGGATATGATACATTTTATGATTTGTTTGTAGTTACCGTGTACTATCTATCCTCATACACTACTATAGAGTTGAAGCTTACCGTAGATAGCAAATAAGTATTTATATGTGTGGTATTTCATAATCATCAATGATAACATTTGCCAATTGTGGAAGACTTTGTTCCACAGACCATCAAAGAGATTTGTCCCTTGTTAAGGCATAATTGTGTTGTGACCTCGAAGACAATCCAGGGGTCCAAGAATATGTTGACAAAGTGCCGCTTCTATTGCAAGTGCATTGTCACTGCAAGTGTTTTCTAGAAATGAAACTAACTGAGCATGACTGGCAGCTTGATTGGGGTAGGTATCCAGTTGTAAGCATGCAAATGGATTTTTATGCCTCGTTCAAGACTCACTTTTTGAGTGCTCTCTGCCTTTAAACATAGATATAACTGCATTTAGAATCCATTTCTACCTAGGGACCTTGAGAAGTTTATCCATATATTCCTCGGCTTCCTATAATATTATAGTTCTCATTTCCCCTTCCATTCCCATCCTTAATTCCATCTCCTTCTCATTGATACACTTCCTAGTCTTGCCTCAACTAATTGTCAAATTTTAACAGCCATTACTATGAAGGCTCCCTGTCTCATTCTCGTCGGGGCTTTCGTTTCCCACGTCATCTGCGATGGTGGCTATGCGAAAGATTGCCAAAATATGACGCTCGTCAACCTGGAAGATCCTCGTATTGGCCTGAAGGTATCTTGTAAAGCGGGAAATAAAGCTCAATGTTCAATCCTTGATCTATGGCAATGATATGGAACTGACAATGGTATGTTGAAGCCTCAAGACAAGTAAGTAATTCGTAAATCCCTTTCACATTCTTGGGTGTCAAGAAATTGGCGGCATAGTACTGATGAGATTACCTACTCAGGAGTGACCTATCTAGATGTCGATCTTGTCACCTAGTGAATGGCACGATTTTAGAATGTGAGTGCAGCGCTAATCCCAAAGGGCGTCACTACACAAGCTCTGTGAACACTAGTAAGCATTGTGATATGAATAAATACCTACCTAGGTATATATACTCAAATTAACTAGGTACTTTTATAGACGATCTCATTGTCAATGGAAACGGAGTCCCTAAGTGTTTTAGCAATAGAGCCACCACGCCTGATGATTGTGCCCAAAAAACATCAACATCAAGTGGATGTGGTAGCAACTCCTGCCTCGTTACTCTAGGATATGTCCTATTTTTCTGTAGTCTTTCCCTTATCTGGGATTGAGTATTTTTCATTTACCTCGGATACCTTACGATTGCCACACCACGAGCTTGTCACTGAGTCAGGGGTAGTCACAAGGAATAGAGCAACGTTATGTATAATATCTTGAGCGCATACTTCCATTAATACCTAGTTACATCATCTAAGTTTGTGTCATTGATGTTCTAATTTATATTATCCCACGTATTACTTCCAATAAAGAATGAGGATGTTTGTGTATACGTTTATTAGGTATCTCTCCGAATAAGTCCTGCGTGTTTATGTCATGTGTGAATAAAATATCTACTTAAGTACCTAACCTACGTAGTCACATGATAACTTAGGCACCTCTAACAATGAATTTATTAGGGAATAATATGTGTTATTGGCAATTTATGACTACTATTAATTACATGCATTCGAATTGTATTCCGGAATTACTAATATAATACTCAAACTGCTGTAGGGTAGTGTTCTATAACATGAAATTATTTCACAGGATAATGAGAGCAAGTTCTAACCGCGCGGCATTATAATGCCTTTTTACCAAGATTGCACTAATAGGGGTTACATTGCGACTCATGCTAGCAGTCCCCACGCTACGGCCCCCAAAGTTTAGATGTTACCTAGTTTCATATCTCTTCTCGGCCACAAAGCTGCATGATGCCTAACTTCCAATTAAAATCTGTTGCTGCTTAATTACGTCGCTTGGATGCTCTTATTCTGGCCCCCAAGCACATCGCACCCCATACCGTGAGTTCAATAATGTGAGTGAATACGACATTCAACCAACATACCTGTAGGTACTCATGGATATACGAAAGGTATGCGTCGCTCCAAAATTAAGGCCAGTTACTTTACGGGTAGCATTACCCGATAGGAATGGCCAGTGTGATAATGCTATAAGGATGAAAAGAGGGTAGGATACAATGTTCCATTGTCGCACAGCAGTCATATCCCCAATTTGTTTCCTTTCAGTGCCGTCTTCCATTTCAACAGACTTGCAGGATAGTAGCAACAAGGCAAACTCAGAGACTGAGTAGGCAATTTCAATCCTTTTTCCAGGTTCGCCCGCGATATTCGACCATGATTTCGGGAGCAATGTTATTCCAATGGATACTACTCTCGGCAGGATGCATATTGGTGGCTTATGTATGTACTATCCTATTCAATTACGATTCTGTGTTCACGCTAACTACTCGAAGTTCTCCCTTACATTCACGTACAACGTCTTCCTACACCCCTTGAGAAGCTATCCGGGCCCTCTTCTGGCTAAGATGACCGATGCCTATGCGGGCTTTTATGCAATGATGATGCGTCTACACCTTGTCACATGGGAAGATCATCAAAAATACGGCAAGTTTAACTAATTAGTTGAATATGTTCTCCACGCTGACCAAAATGCAAATAGGCCGGGTTATAAGGCAAGGCCCAAATAAGCTCGTTTTCAACTCAGCTCAGGCTCTTAAAGGTCAGTAGCTACCTACGTCAGGTACTTACCTATGTACCTATCTATTTACAATATACCGTCGTCTATTTTCTACTACTTTAGCTATCGTGTTGCTGACTATCTCTTCAAGACATCTATATGAATGATAGGCTGTCCAAATCTCGTGTGTATCTAACATCACTCCAAGCCACGACAGGCGAGAATGCATGGAGTACAATCGACAAGCGCACCCACCGTATAAGGCAACGGATGATAGGTTCTGTACTAAACGATCGCTCCTTACAAAAGTTTGAGCCTACTATAATTAGAGAGATTGATATATTTCTTGGTGTGGTTTTATCTTCATACCAAGGTTCCCAACTTTTGAATATGACCGACAAATTCAATTATCTGATGCTGGATATTATCGGTCAGCTTGCTTTTGGGTATGCTAATCGTACGCAAACTGTGCCAAAGAATCGATTTCTATCAAAAGGGATCACGGTGGCCAATTACCATATCAATATCCTTTTGCAGTACCCATATCTAGCACAATCTTGGTTGGTATCTTTAATACGACATGTCACAGCGTATCAACAGGAGAGAAATTTGGACTCGTTACGAAAACTCATAAAGAAGCGAAAGATGCAAGGGGTAGACGCACATTATGATCTATACCATTTTGTCACCCGGCAGATGGGTACCGAGGACACCGAAAACGTTGAGTTAAGTGAACTGTGGTCAGAAGCGGCCTTATTCTATGTGGCAGGTTGGTGTCTCAAGTTTCATATATTAGGCCTCGTGGTATTATTCTGCAAATGCTAATTCCATAATTGCGCGACAGGAGTAGAGACAAGCTCAACGACTCTATGTGCGTTATTTTTCTATCTATCACGATATCGAGAATGTTATGACAGACTTGTCGCAGAGATTCGCTCTTCATTTACTAGCGGAGATGACATACGAAGGGGTGCAAAGTTAGGTGGATGCCACTACCTTCGCGCCTGTCTCGACGAATGTATGCGTATTTCGCCACCGGCGCCAGGGATATTCTGGAGGGAGGCTTCTTATGACGACAGCAAAGCTAGTGGCCCATTAGTTATCGATGGCCACGTTATTAATCCGGGGACACACGTTGGAGTCTGTACTTATGCTATTCATCACAGCGAGGAATACTTTCCCGAGCCCTTTATATTCAAGCCTGAGCGATGGATGGCGGAAAGCCCAGCTCCTAAACCATCGGTGCCCTTCGCTGCATTTTCATTAGGAGCCCGATCGTGTCCAGGGAGGTCTCTTGCATATCTACAAATAAGCCTCACTGTCGCTAAAACGCTGTGGTATTTCGACTTTGAGCGGCCATCAGGCAAGCTTGGTAATGTTGGCAGTAGAAGTGGTGAGGGTAAACCGGACGAATTTCAACTGTACGATATACTTGCTTCCACTCATACAGGGCCTATGTTATCCTTTAAGCCCAGAGGTGAATATTGGAAGGATCTGAAAGCAATGTAAGGCTAGGATGCTGTGAATGAGTTGGCGATCAAGGTGCCTACTGTTACTTTATGATATGCTTAATTGAATATATACAATTATCAAATATAGTCCTTTTACTGATCGAAGAGATCAAAACATCGCTAAGAAAGCCAGAAGACAAGCTGCGCGAATGGGGGAAATCCACCCAAACTTCACAACTTCTAACATCGGGGTGTGGATAAAAATCAAAGATTACTTGTGCTAGTTACTTTGTCTGTGAAGGATTGTAAAGAGTTTCGTAGCATCGGATACGGTGCGGCCCGGGCAGCCACTTGATGGGTGCCAGACGCATCAAATGATTTGTGGGCTTGCCTACCTGTTGGAGTCCGTATTTCATATAGATCTCCTGCTGGTGGTTGCTCTAGGACATTAGAAGCGGAACCAACAAATCGATTTTATGCAGGTTGACTTTTACGACACTAACACAGAATTAGAATTAACTGCCACACTTTAGGGGTTGTTGCCATCAAGGAACCAACAGAGTATCCGCAATACAGCCGGCTTAATCAATGATAGGCTACCTACCTACCTACCTAGGTAGGTACGTATTCGGTTTGTGATTGAATATGACGCGGCTACGTTTAGCGATGATGCCGCACATATTCACGCTCCCGATACATCATCGGCAACGTGTTTAATGAAGTTATCACAACCCTACCTGGGTTTCCATTTCCTTTTTACAACTATTAATTAGCTGCACGTAACGAGTGTGTAGAGTCATCGTACCACGTCACCTATCTCGGAATCTTCTATACTCGATATTTGATTACATGGAAATGGTTACCAACCAGAAAGAAGAAACTTGATACTCCAGAGCTATGGAGTCACTATGAAGATCAAAAATATGTAGCTGAATAGACTCGCTCTTCTTCCGCAAGGAGAGAAGCTGCATTGGAGTAACTGTCTTGCTTTTTTTGCTAAAAACATGTTTGGTTATGGTCCAGTTAAAGAAGCGTTTTCCTCATGCGCATCTTTTCTAAGGTCTTCTTCCAATCTTCTATAGGCATTTATCCATTACTCCAAGGGTAATCGCGATTAGATGACCTCCTATCCACGGTGTCTGTTGCAACTACGATCTCCGTCGTCATGAGTATGCCATCGCTGGGTAAAACCAAGTCACTCTGCTCATTTCTGCTCGACAACGATGGATATTTGACCAATGGCGTCGTTGTGTCCCTCATTCTGTGGTACATCATCCTATCAGCATCCCATAGCTCACTTCCCATATGAACCTGATGAGATGGCCATGACTGTGATTTGCTCGTCCGGTTTGAACTCCTTCTAGAAATATGAGTATAAAACATGACTTTATCAATGACACGGTGAATTAAGTCGGTGTTAGAAAAGGCTCTCGGTATCCATGGTGCGCAAAGTGCAAGGAAACAACATGTGTTCTCTGCCAATGTCCAAAGATATACGCTATTGATCGTATATGTTTTATCATCAGAATCTAGGAACTTGATCATAGCAATCGCACGAGCAATTGACGATGCCAAAGCCCTGGGGTTTTGGTTCATATTAGGCACGTAAACTGCTTGAAAGAAGAGGGGTCCAGACTTACAGTAAACCAACAAGAAATAAGAAAGAAACCCCCATCTTTTTCTTTGTGGCAACCTGTAAACGCCAAATAGTTCGCTGGGTTAACACTATAACAACTGCTATGTATATCGTATTCGCTAAACAGCCTGGAATCTGAAATAATTTCTGGTCGATACAGTAACCTTCGAGAATCGTTTTATCCCAAATCTTCCTATATGGAAAACAGGACATATTTTCAGCTACTATAAAAGCGATACTAGCTATAGAATTGAATGCTAACAGCATGTTGCCTATCCAGTAGAATAAGTTCCGGGTACCACGCGGGACAAAGATGCGATTCCACTCCAGGAGAATAGCGGTCTTCCAAAGACCTGACGTGGCGGCACAGAAATTGAAACCAAGGTGGTGAATCTAGTTATCGAATATGTTAATATTCTGCAACACCTGCTATTCGAGTTAAGCCACAATATACCGGGGTTACATACGTAAAAGATCGGAGCGAGATCCCTCAACCGCACATCCCATTGATGGGGGAAGGCACCAATCATATATAGTACATGATACGAACACCACACACTTGCTATGAATGTTCCCTGATAGATAATGCCTAAGTTAGTTGCACATTAAAGGCTTAAATAAGTAATTGATAAGAGTTAATACCATTCCCGCCAATGCAAGAGCTGTTATAAGGGGTGAATACTGTCAGGTTCTCATATATACGTAGGTAGGTAAACAGGTATAAACGCACCATCTTCGATTTCCAGTTTATTTCGATTAGACGCCTTTGCATACGCACGCATAAGCGTAACGAGCGTTATCAAAGATAGACATATAGCGTTGGTAAACTGTGCTACGGCGTTGAGGTTGGCGGGGTGCTCGAAGTTCGGTTCATGGCCTTGGGGTGGCTGCAGAGCTGGTCCGTTTAATATTTCTTCCGGGATCATAGAGGTTTGCGACATGCTGAAAGGTTATTACATCGAAAGCGGCGATCATAGACAGACATGAATCAACAGAGTTGGAGTTGGGCCATAGATATTAGGAGAACGGAAGTCATAAGTGGAACATATTGTGAAAGCAAGCTTCAGACGTCTGAGATAAGTAGCCATCATTGGCCTCCTCGACCTGCTGCTTCAGTACAAGCTGCTGACATTCTAAGGATCCAACAGCCCTACACTAGCAATTCACCCAACTCTATATCCATTAACCAATCGGCGTAACCATGATTAGAATATCTCTCAGGGACCCCAATAGATAACAACAGGTCGTTATTATACAATAGAATACGGCTTCCAATCCATAGAGTGTTGGTAGATATTTAGCCCCATATAGGTACCGTTGACTGAATACGCTGCTGCGGCTTACTATGACATATATGAGTCGAGCCACTAGAGGACGCATATAGGTTAGAGTATTATATTTCTAGAAGTAGTCCTATGAGATTTCTATAAAAGTATATATAGAGTAATACGTGAGAATATATCCTATTAGTACATATAACCTGAACGATACGTCTACTAAGAGTGCATGCCGAAAAATTGTCGAATATGCTACATGTAATCGTAAGGCTTAGTGGTGAGCATAAAATGGAGATGCCCTCCGTACCCCTAACAATTGGGTGATTATTAGGCGTTTGCGGTTGTGTAACCAACAGAACGGTAAGTTAGAGAAGGTTACACAGACAATACCTGGTATAATAAATGCATCATCTTATATATTTCTCTTACCTTCTAACACGCACTCAGGTATTTATCCAATCATGTCCAAGTAATAGATTCTCGTATGACCCAGGTTTCATTTTGTAAGACATAGCTACTATCGCATGCATGAATTTGCATGCTGTTGGCCAGAGATGGAAATGGGGGCCACATTGAGATGAGGCTCTGCACTAGTTTTACGAGAAATCCAAAGCGGGTAAACGTCTGCTTTTAATTCCACACCCCTCCATTATAAACAATAATACTACATTAATATAGGAGGGCCCATGCACCATACCTGTAGGCTGAGTTCCAACGCCACCAATCAGACATATCATTTATGTGACATTCCTACACTACCTAGGTACATTTGGGGTTGAAAAGTATTGTTCTTTGTATATACCTTTTGTGCCAAGTTATTTAGCACTCAAAAATAGTTACTTTCATCACACCAACTCAAACGTGTACGAGTGGCCTTGCACCAACATGTTGTTTCGTTTTCCCATGCAGTTACCAGACCTAGGCAGGTGGTCCTATCTATTCAAAAATTTCTCATCGTTGCTCATCCCTTTTACTACTACTAATCCAGAATTTCTTGAATATATGATCGACTTGAAGAATATTCCTATTCAATATTTCAACTTTGATTCTGTATCTGTTCCCCTTTCACTCATACTGCAGTAGCCCAGTCTACCATGAATAGTTCAGAAAATGCTTCTACGTCCGACAGGGACGTCGTAGTGAAAGATAATTCCACTACTGACTGGCCATCGGACAGGGTGGTGGGCGAGGCACAAGAGTTGGTAGTAGAGGAATGGCAACCATCCAAACATGAAAAAGCTATCATCTACACCATTGCTTTCCTTAACCTCATTGTCTCTCTGGATGCCACTATTATTGTCACCGCTTTAGCTGTAAGTTCAAATTTCCTTATACCATATATCCTTCTGCGATTTGCTGACGGGGATTGGCCAGGCAATTGTCGACGATATTGGTGGCACAACTACTCAAGCCTTCTGGATTGCCACATCGTATCTTCTTGTAAATGCAGTTACTATGCCAATGATCTGCTCGATTAGTGATGTTATTGGCCGACCTATTTGCCTTACCTTCTCGATCGCCGCTTTTACAGTAGGAACAATAGTCTGCTGCACTGCACACAGCATAGCGGTGCTTCTTCTGGGGCGTTGTATCCAGGGAGTTGGCGGTGGAGGTATCCACTCCTTGGGTCTTGTCATTCACACTGATTTTGTTCCCTTGAGATGGCGACCGAAGTGGTACGGTATCACGTAAGTTTCTTCACGATATCGCTAGAACGCCTCAGATACAGAACTAATGAAAAGAAAAACGATACAGACTTGCGGCATGGGCTATAGGCCTCTCGATAGGCCCAGTAACAGGTGGTGCTATTGCCCAGAGGACTACATGGCGTTGGATATTTTATCTCATGTTTCCCATTTGCGCGTTTGGCCTCGTTGCCGTACCATATCTCCTCACCCTGCGACCTAAAAGGGCCACATTCCAGGAGAAAATGGAAAGGATTGACTGGCTAGGAGGATTCATCTTCACTTGTTCCGCAACAGCCTTTCTTATCGCAATTTCTTGGGGCGGCACACAGGTATGCAAATATAGTTATCTCACTTTGATACATAAGTGGCCACCGTACTAATGTTACTCATAGTATGCATGGAATAGTGCGGCTACACTGGTTCCTCTTATTCTGGGCATTGCGGGTTTAATCGGTACAGCCTTCTATGTTGGGTTTATTGCGAAATATCCTTTCATTCCAAATGATTTATTTTGTGACGTTAGCTCTATCGTAGCATATATTGCTGCTTGTCTTCAAGGAATTCTGGTACGTCTCCTCACATCTAGAACTCTATCTATTGGATTGTGATAGCTGATATTTTTGACCTCTCCAGTTATATGGGACATTATACTAGTAAGCAAATGCCGCCATGGACTCATTAAGAGCACTGCTGACTTCAGGAATAGTTGCCCTCTTTATTTCATGTCTGTGAAGGAATATACCCCAATTGACGCAGGTGGTGAGTAACACAGATCAGTTATTTATATTTATCAGCATATCATATCGAAAGCATGTGCTAATCTGGGATGTTACAGTGGCTACACTTCCAAATCTTCTACTGTTTGCTGTATCCGGAATTGTCACTGGACGCCTTGTTACCAGGTTTAACAATTTCCGTTGGGCGATTTGGTTTGGCTGGTTCTTCAGCTGCGTCGCGACGGCAATGTATACGGCATGGAGAATTGATGACAGCAAGCCGGTCTGGGTCATCAGCTTTATGATAGGCGGCATGTCACATGGTGCTATATTAAATGCGCAAAATTTCGCTACCCAGGCCATATGCAAACCCGGAGATGAAGGTGCGGCGGCGGCGATGTATATCTTCGCAAGGCAGTTCGGCATGGCCCTCGGCGTAGGAATAGGGGCTACAACGTTCCAGAACGTCATGAAACTAAACCTCAGGTGGGGAGGGTTGCCAACTTACATCGCCGACTATGCTGAAGCCTATATTCCAACCTTACACTCTCTTCCTCATGGCCCTACCCGGGACGCAATATACGACTCGTACAAGGCTGGATTCCAGGCCGTAGTTGCCACTTGGCTTGGGATTTCAGTTCTCGTCCTCTTCCTCACCCTAGTGTTTATTAAACACGCTGATATGAACAGAAAGCTTGATAGCGACCACATAATTGACAGCACGCGAATGTTTAGGCACTGGGAGAAGAAACAATCCACTCCAAACGGCAACGAGATGTAAGATATGGATATATCTGGCGACTCATCGAACTCGCTGGATATGTCTTCGACAAGTATGAGAGTCTGGGCTTGTTTGCATAGTCGTTCCTAAATGTACCTACCTAACCAAGCTAGTCTTTGATATCTATTCATCGTTATCCATTGTGTAATTTCCTCTTTTCTTCTGTCTTCGAATGCGGGATTTAATTATTATATGCGCAACGTTAGGTACTTTCTATATTTCAATGACTACCTAAGTACCTACCTATATCTTCCTGTAAAATACTACTTTATTAACATATTAAATGCGTTGGTGAGGTTAGATACACATGTCAGATTAGTCAGCCATGTCAGGTGACCTGAAAATCCCTAGTCCCATGTAAAATAGCGGTGTAATACGCGTTCCCACAATTTTACCTCAATTAATTAAATTATTAAAAATATGATAAATTAAACCTTATATAACGTTTATTTAATACGTATTAATTATATAATAATTGAAAGTTTTATGTATTTAAATTATATAAATTTTAAGGATAAAATCTTAATTAATATTATATAATATAATATATATACATTAAAATAAATTTTAAAAAAATTATTATTTACTTATTATTTTATTATAAATTTTATTATATTATTATTAAGTTTTAAACTTAAATACTTTAATAATTAAAATATATAAAATAAAACGTTTATATCATTTATTTAAAATTATAAAAAATTACCCAATTTATTTAAATTTTAATCGGAAATAATAATAAAAATAAAAATCTTATTAAAGGATTAATTGCTAATAATATCAACTTTAAATAATTAACTTTTTTTTTAAATAATATAAAAAATAATTAAAATTTTATAAAAATTTTATTTAAAAAATTAAACGTATATATTTGCATTAAAAAAAATAATTAATAAAAAAAATAATTAAATTAAAATAATTAATTATTCGAATTATATTAAAACTTTATTTTAAAATTGTATAATAATTTAAACATGTAATTTAAAATATATATAAAATTTTAAAAAGTTATTTAAGTATATATATATTAAAACATAAAATTTGGAATAATTATGTAAAGATTATAACATTATTTATAAAAAAATTTAAAAATTAAAAAATTTAAATAATTAATTAATTTATGATGGTTGTATAATATTGACATAAAGGTATTTTATTGATTATAAAGTATCTTTATTATTAATAAAAAAAGAAAAGATAAGATATTTAATTTTATTAAATAAAGGGGTTGAATATTTATTATTATTGGAATATAAAAATATATTATATTTAGTTAATTTTAAATAGATTTTTTTTTTTTAAATATTTTAATATATTAATTTTAATATTATTAATTTATTTATTATTGTTTTATTATTATTATTATTATTTTTATTTATGTATGTATTTATTAATATTGATTAGTATTATTAAATAATAATAATATAAATTAATAAGATTAAAAAAATTATTGTTATTTTAATTTGAAAATTTTTATTATAATAATATAAATAATATTAATATTTTTTTTATATTATTTTTGTAGTTTATGATAGGTTATAATTTTATTTTTTTATATAATTTATTTATATTTTTAATAAATTATTATAATTTAAACCTTTTATTTATAAAGTTATTATTATTTGTGTTATTAATTTTTTTTATTATGTTTTAAGAAATATAGGTAAAAAGTTTAATGTAGGTGTAAATTTATGTTATATATGATTTTGTTAAATAAGAGAATATGGATAAATTATATAAGTTTTTAAGCTATTTTTTTGGTTGGATATTTATATTTAATATAATATTTAATTATATAGTAATATAATAGAAAAAAATTAATTTTTAAATAATTATATTTAAATAAAAAGTAATATAAATATTTTTTATATTAGTAAATTTTAAAATTATTAATAATAAAATATTATATATATATTTAATTAAAAAAGTAATAGTTAAATATTAAAAATAATTTAAAGGATTTACGGTAAATAATTTTAAAGTATTATTAAGATAATTATAATTGGTATTATAAAATATATTGAACTGGTGTAATGCCACATTGCCAAGAGCAAAGATATTATTATATAATCTTAAGTTATAGGCTATATAAAAATCTAATATTTGTTATATTCTTCTAATTAAATAATTATAATTATTACTATTTAATTATATATTTAATATAAATATATTTGTTATTTTCTTATATTTATAGTTTATGGCCTTATTTTACATATTTATCTTATATATCTTATTCGATTAATAAATCTTTATAGTTTTTCTAGAATATAATATTATTATTAATTATTTAGGATTTTTTACAAGGATTTAAACGTTAAAGTAATATGTTATATTTTATAAAAGATACCAACTTTTGTTTAGTGGTAATTATTACGGGATTTAAACTTGCAACCTTAGTTTTAAGAGAATTGTTAAATGTTGATTAGTAAGAATGGTTTTAAGAGTTAAGAAATTGATTTTGAGTATTTATTAAGAAGATTTATAAAAAAATAAAAAAATTATAAAAATTTTAAAAGTTATTGGGTATTTAAGATAAATTGTTATTAGATTATTATAAAAACTTTTTTACAAATTAATATTATTTAATTAAAGATATTTTTATTAATATAAGATAATTATAATTGAAATATACTAAAAAAATATTAAAAATGATTATGTAATATAAAGCTATTTATAAATTAAATAGTTAAGAATAGTAATTAGTATTATAGGATTTATAAATTAAAAGATATTAGAATATATAATTAAGGATAATATATAATTATAATGGAATTGTTATTAAGGGATATAGAATTAGAATTTTTAAGGATTATAATTAAAATATAATTAAATATTGGTAAAAAAAGGATATAAATTAGAATATAGTATTATAATTATATTATTAAAACAAATAACCTATAGTTGATAAATAATAGGATTTAGTGTTAAGAAATCTATTTATTTATTACCTTGAATATATAGAAAAATCTATTAATTAAAATATTAAAATGAAATAAATAAAATATTATTAAAGCTATTATAGTAATCTTATTGTTATTTATTCTAATATATTTTTAAGGGGTATGAATAAAGGCTGAATTAATAATTACTTACTTATAAGCTAAATTTTATACCAAAAAAAAACGTTATACAATAGCTAAAAAATCAATCAACCTTTAATAAACAAAGATAAATATTATTTTTATTTCTGTATTAAAAATAGGAGGTAAAATCACCAACGTAAATCATTAATAAATCAAATATTTTTTATGTTTTTATTATAATAGAATATTGATTAATTTTTTGAGAATATTTCTAATTAACCCTAAACTAGTAATATTAGTTTAAAGGATTAGTTAATATAGTAAGGAATAATATTTAAACTAGAAATATAATTAAACTTATTATTTTTTAAGAATATTATTTTACTATTTACTAGCATATTTTAAGTATTATTAACTATTAATTCCATTTGCACTAATTAACTAAAATTTAAAATATATAGGGATATTTTAGTTATATTATTTGATAATAAAAGCGACTAAAATAACAAACCCTTAAAATAACCCTTAAGTTTTAAGTAAATATAATTAGTAGTATTTATTGATTAATTATAATAAGTTACCGTTTAAAATTTTAGTAAAGGAATATTTGATTAGTGTAGAAAACTAATTAGTATTTAATTGATTGTATATTAAAACTTTATTAGGAATATATTTATTATATTAGCCATTATCCTAATTTTAGCAATTTTATTAATAGTATAAGTATTGGTTTTTAATTAAAGATTGTTAATTTATTTGTATTAAGTTGTTTTGTTAAATTTGTAAAATTATAAAAATAAATTATTTAATAAAATAAATGTTATTTAGTGGTTAAAGGATGTTAATAAGATTTTTTACTAATATAGAGTAATTAATTATAACTGGATTAAAAAAATCTTAATATGGATTATTAATAGCAATATGTATAAAAAAGTTAATATAATTATCAATAGTACAACTATTTAAAATAAAGTTTAAATTTTATTAAAAAGAAAATTTGCTATACGTAATTTATATTAATATAAATTATATAAATTAAAATTAAAAAATCTTAAAAATAAAGGCGTTTTTAGTAATCCTATTAAACTTACGAATTTAATTAGGAATTATACAACTTTTTTTAAAAATATTAAGTTGAATATAATATAAAATATTAATTTTAACGATTATGTTAATGCCATCTTAAAACAAATTGATAATAATATTTTAAAGGATATTATTTATTATGCTTATTTTTTTTTTATGGATATTTAAGTTGTGTTATTTAATACGATTAAAAATATAATATATAATTAAGTTAATAAAGAAGTTAAATTGTTGAATTGTTATTATAGTAGTAAAAAAGTCAAGCTTTAAACTTTCGATAATATTGAAGATATTTTACGATAGTTTATTGATTGTTTACGAAAGAATAGTGCTGGTAATTAACCTTGATCTAAAATCTTTACAAAAGATAATAAGTTATAAGATTTATTAATTATGGAGAGTTTGACAAAACATTTTAGTATTATATAAATTAATATATAAAAAGTTATAGTGGAGTAGATTAAATAAAAATTAGCAATTATTAAAAGTATATTAGGAATATTGTTTTATATGATAATATGTGACGGATGTATAGAGTATCCTAGTTAACCTATCAAGATTAATTAGATTTAAATCTGTAAATAACTTTAATTTTTTAATTATTGCATAAAAGGTTATAATTAAGTTAGATTTTTTCTTTTATATGTAGTTAATTATTTGTTTAATATATATTGGTTTTATAGTGTTTAAAAAAACACATATATATGTTATATGGTATTTTTATATTCGATAGTATATAATATGGTTATAAATAGATTTTTATATTATAATAAGATTTATAATATATATATTATGGGTCGATTAAACAAATAAGGATTAATTTAGAATATTAATATTCTTAATACGATTTAATTGGTTATTAAATAAAAAAGAAAGGTTATTGGTATTGTTATTTATAAATATATTTACGATTAAAATATTGGTAATCTATTTGCTAAAAAATAAGTTAAATATTATATTAGAAAGATTAAGATTAAGTAAGAGTTGATAATATCACATTTTATTTTAATTAATTTAATATTTTAAGATTAAACTACTTATGTAATAACAGAAATTAATGTTATAAAATTTAAAAATAATATTAAAATATTTAATTAAGATTTTTTTATTAAATATAAATAATTCCCAAAAATAATAAGGAAAAATAATATTATTTATATAAAAGGTATTATTTAAAAAGAAATTAATAATTAATTTAAAAACCTGTTGGTAAATATTAATATAATTAAATAATAAAAAGGATTAAA